CCAATACCTAGATACAAATTCTTCAAACTGATCTCTATACATTTCCTTTAAGAATTAGTTAAGAAAATATGATAAAAGATCAAAGCATTTTCTCTTAGGTGATCATTTTATTAATTCTTATAACCTCATCTCATGACAATGTATGGATATCGTTAGGAGAAAATTGCTGTTGGTCACTATTGGGACTTAAAGGGTTAAGAGGTGACTGTATTTATATGAAAGCTACGGAGCAATACTTTATCGCTTCATTTTACTGTGAATTTACATAGAATTTAGTTTTCTGTGGTACTCCTGTTCTTAAGCGTGCCCTTCTTTCTCAAAAGAGCACTAAAATAGTATTTTTAGTGCTCTTTATGAACGAATCCGTCTTTTTGAGACAGCCAGTTTTACATCCGTTTCCATCCCTCTATGAGAAACGCACACAACTAAGAAAAAACACTACCACTTACTAGTAACACAACTTCCCTTGTGTCTCGGTATTATCCACTTCGCCTCTTTGCAAGCCGCTAATTGCAATGCATCTAAATTGAGATAAGACTTTCCATCTGAGCCGCACACTGGATCGTTGGCGGTATTGGTCAGCGGGCTGCACTCACACTTCGCGACCTTATCTTTGACGCACTTGGAGTAGATGGTACAGCGCTTCCATTCACAGGTGTCAAAATCTGAGAATAAAAGGAACAGTTTGTGACGATTGATTATGATGAGATGTGTTTGGTTTTGGCCGTTGAAGACTTCCAGAGATTTACATTTCATATGCGTGCAGCCATGCCTATTTTGGGTCTTCTAAAGCAATCCCTTGAGGCAAATGAGTTCCAAAACGCCACTTTCAAAGTGAATTCGCGCTATTTCTAACTTCATTACTTTTATACCATTTCATTCGATTTGTAAAATGTGTTGGGAAATTTTACTGGAGTTATTTCTAAAGGACCGTACCTAAGTTCAGAAAAAAGGAAAATGTTGTCTTGCGTTCACGTCGTCCATAAAACGTGATTCTAAGAAGTTTCACCTTGAAGTCGTAAATTTCCCTTTGATAAACGGTCGCTCCCATTTTTGACTTGTTATTGATTGCGTTTCTATCAAAAAGAAAGAAGATGGCAGCTCCACCCGGACCCTGCGTAATCTCTCTCCCTTACCTCTACACTACCACACTGACCCACCAAAATTCCGAGGAATTTACGTACACAAACTAGCAAACTGTTTTTCTTGACCGATACATCAATAACAGGTGACACTAGTCCTTTCCATAACTTTAAACGTAAATTCAACTTCGTTTCCAACGTCGTTCTTTCTACGACTATTAAGAAACGTATTAGTTGCCTTATTGTAACTTAATCCAGGGACTATATTACATGTATCATGACAAAAGCGTTGGTTACCTATGGTGGTATCGACCGTTAAAAATGGCAACGCTCGTTTACGAAAGGGAAATAGGGGTTGCCATCGTCGTCGCTTAAACTCCCTATTCTATACAGCCACGTTACCTTGTATTATCTTGTCCACTGTCTGTTGCACCATAACCTTCAGTCGGTCAGGTGACCCAACAGTCACAATAAACTTATCTCCAGAAGCTAAATGACGGATATTCTCCAATCCTGTGTCTCCAACAACAACAAGCACCACTTTGATCGCTGCCTCTTTTAATGACCGAGAAAGTTCGGCAAGGCCTTGTGGAGTTTTTACACTGCTTCCATCTGTTATAAGTACTACAGCCTAATGGAAAACATGAAAACACATCAGTTAGTTCATTAGTTAAATGACATTCAAATTCCCAGTGAATACGATGAACAGTGACTTGGAGCTTTGGACGTTTGACTGGCCTCGTCCACACTAATGCGTTTTCGTTTGAAAACGCATACACTTCGATGCGTTTAGGCCCTCCGTACATGCGAGTAGCATAGAGATCACCGTACGTCACATCGTGCAATTCTATCGTTTTCGAAAGTCTTAGTGTGAACAGTCGAAAACGCATCAAAACGGTGGTGTGGACGCGAATCAATCGATTAAGAATTCTCTTTTTACCTTAAAGCCCCAAGATCCACAAACAAATTCTCAAGACTTATCTCCATACACTTCTTTTTAGCATAGTTGAGAGAATTTGGTTTAAGATCAAAGAGTTCCCCCTTTGGTAATCAATTTAGTAATTCTCATAACCTTTACTCTTGATGATCTGCTGATGTTGTTGGGAGAAAATTGATGTTGGTCACTCTCGGGACACAAGGGGTTAAGTCCTCGAAAGGCTTACTTTTCCGCCCCACATACCTTAGGATACTGACTGTCTTTCAGTCTACGATCGCTTTCAAAGCTGTGCAGTATACCAGGTATAGAATCTCTCATAGCTCGATCCAGTGTGGTCCTCTTTGCCGTTGACTGTAGCGTGTTAATGTAGGCCGGTAAAGTGAGGTAGTTATAAAATGTTATGAAATCTATTCTGGCAGTACCGCTAAGATCAAACTTCAAGAAACCGTGAGCAATTCCTTCAGCTGAAATCCGGAATCTGTTTCCCAGGTCCTTGAAGAATCCCTTTGATTTCTCAACAACTTTGAGTTCTTCCATAGTCTTGATATCGAGAGCAAACATGAGATGAACAGGCTGTTTCACCCCTACAAGAATTAAGACGCACAATAAACTGAGGTAATGAATAATAATGATAATGATAAGCTGAGGTATAGCAACGGAATGGTGCTAGCGAAGACGTCCGCTAGGATTAAAGGCAAAATGTTGCGGAACTGAGAATAATGTTACCGAAAAGCGATGGTAAAAGACAAGGAGCTATTAGTATCCGTTTGCTTGATCGATCGAGGTGGATGAATATCAAAATTTATAGCAATGAAACAATAGACAACGACTAAACCTGATTTTTAACACTGTAAATTTAGCAACCGCCAACAGATTCGAATTGACTTTTCTTTCTGATCACTTGACTTGAAAAGAAGTCGCACAGCTTTGCGTGATGTGACAGATGCATACTCCAAACTTCCAGACATGTTACCAGTTTCACAAAACGCAAAGAGGGTGGTACCTATTGTCGTCTGGGGTTTAAATAGCCTCCCACGCAGACGTTCTTAGGGGTTCGTCACGCGTTCCTTCCCCGTTCCTGCCCCGTGGGGCAGGAATGCGTGACGAACCCCTAAGAACGTCTCGGCTGGGAGGCTAGGGTTTAAATAACAGTTTCTTTGGCTGAGCATCAGAAGATAGCTGTCATGGCCGACGTCGAGTTTGTACAACTTGACTCCGCTGACCTCTCACCAGACCTATCAGCACAATGACCTTCAGTTCCGTATTCTTTTACAAATACAGTGTATTAGGGAGCTTCAGTTACCAGAACGGCGACGGCAACGAGAACCTCAAAAAAGCAACAGGTTTAGAGAAACGACACAACAACTTCGCTCGCACGTGCATCACGCTCCTTTTGTATATTTCTGAGCCGACTACGACGTGCAGGTGCCTAATTTCACGTTTTGTGGAGAACGTGACCACGAGACAACGACTTCCTCTTTCTTTTCATGAACTTCGATACAGCCTTTTAGAAATTAAACTCACGAAAAACTTGCCGACATTGAACGAGATCGAATAAGAACAATAAAGTTTAAGACGGAATCCACCAGGATATTGGGTAATCTCAATTTTCAGTGGAAAAAAACCTTGTACCAGAATAATTTAAACAACGTCACATTTTTTTTACAATTTTCAAGGGCTATAGATATAATTAGTTATCTGTAATAACACCAAAGACTATTTCTAATGGAAGCCCGAGAAAATAAATGGCAGATTTCACAAGAATTGTGAAAACACAGGTAATATCCTGAAAATTTCATGTGTAAGATTTCATTTTGTGAAATTTCCAAAAATTTAGAAAAAAAGTTGTTGTTTTGCTAATCTCAACCTACTGCTTCGTTGTCATCATCGTCGGCTCGTTGTGTTGGGTTCGTCCCAAATGAATGAAGTTCAACGTTTGACACTGGCCCAAAATAGTTAGATCTCTTACCCGGGTCACTGAAACCAGCTGAGCGAAGATGAAAAGGAGTAATTTGTACCATTTTTTTTTTCAGTAGTAAAAAGAAGAAGTTAGGAATTTCAAAATCCAGAGTGTTGACAGGCAACAAGTCTGCTAGTCCACAGCTTATACCCTTGTCACGCACGCACCGGGCTAACTCAGTTGTCGTGAAAACGATGGTTTGACCCGGTCAATTTAGTTCAAACATCACATTCAGTGTTTCATGGAATTTACTGACTCCCACCCATCAACACAGTACAGCAGTTTTTGCAGCTGAGGCACTTAAAATATCCCTGGTTATTTATTCTAAAGTCCACCTACCACATGCGGTCATACTCTTAGCAGTGATCTTAACCCTGTTTGTACACGAGTGCCGCTGAAGTTCGCATTCATTTTCGTAGGTCTTTCCATCACTTCCACAGACTGGTGAATTGGCTTTAGAACAGTTGGATGGGCATTCGCAAACATGGCTCCAGCCATCCCTAGAACGGCGGCAAATGGAGTAAAATTCACACACAATCGATTGGCAGGGATCTAGAGAAAGGAGAAGAAACACAAGGCATAAGCTTACGCTTGAATTAAGACATCTGACATCTTTTTCCTGGCTATAACAAAATTCCTTGCACGTTCATTGATTGGTTCCAGGGAGCATTGAACGCCGTAAAAACGGAAACTGTAGGAGGAATCATGAGTTAAGACATTTTCTGGACTGTTTACAGACATCTTTACAGAAAACATTTCGCTCGTACCGCGATCTGCTTTGTCCGCCATCTTGAATATCACGACGAGGTAAACTGGGGAGAGTACAAAAACCCCTAAGGGGCGGGTGGGGGGCAGGGGGTAATCGAAAAGCCTCTGAAAAGTTGCCCATGCTTTCCTGACAAATGAAGACGATGAAAATGAGAGAAGTAAGGGGGGGGGCTGAAGACAACCTCGGGCCATCTTTTGTATATATTTTAAAGGGCGTTGGTTTGTGTGCAAAAGCGCCATCTATGAGCTCACCTTCTTCTTGACTGCAGACAGTCTGTTCTAGGAGCATTTCTCCGACAGGTCTGCACTGTCCACACCATCCGCCACACTTAGCAGAAACCATGGTACCGTCCTTCGATTTTTTGTACTCGTGCATTTCAATTCCGGGGGGAAAACCAATCGCTTTCCATCGCACAGATGGCTTTAAACGTAAGCCAGTCTGAGAGAGGTCAACCTTAAAGTGACCCCTCCTGCACTTTCCACCAAAATGCATCGAAAAGCAATCTCCAGCCGAACCATAGGGGATTCTCTTGCCAAACGGATTTGACTTGGCGAAGGTGAAATCATCGCCAATGATGGCCATTCTTGAAAGATCCACGCGAACCTTGCGAAACCTGCTCAAACCCGCTGCAGTATAATTCATCCTGCCAGGCGTTCCGGAGCACTTGTATCTGGCGGAGTATGGTCTGTGAGGCAGTCGCTTGGCGTATATATGAGCGTAATTGTTCTGTACTCCAGCAGGAAGTGTGATAAACTCTTTAGGAGAACTGGTGTTCATACCATGGCAATAGACCTTCATTGGGGTGTTACACTCTGGGCGTACATATATGAGGTATTCTCCGTCACTGAACCCGACACGGGCGTTTTTTATTCCTGCACAGCTTGTAGCACCTGTAATATAGAAATGACGCAGACAGATAAAGCACAACAATTGTTAACATTAACCTAAAGTCTGAAACAGGTTCTTATTTTCTAAAATCTGTAGAAAAAAATTCTTTTCACTTGGGAATATAAGATAAGTTATCATTCAGGATCCCTATTTGGAGACATTAATGCCTTATCACCTCAACTGCAATGTACTGGTATGCAGAATTATATAAGGAATAAGCTGAATATACCACTACATACTTTTAGATTCAATGTATTTTTTTTCTTTAGAAAATAAGAACCTATTTAAGAACCAAAATACCCTAAATTTCCCTAACTTGGGAAAATGCAGGGCCCGGTTCCTGAAAGGTCCATTAGCGTTAATCCAGGATTAAAATTTTGTATTTTATATTCCTATGCATTGCTTAGGGTAACGTTCTGTGTTATCACTACCGTATCTCCTAGTAAAGGCTCAACAGTATTCTGTAACCTCGAGTTGCATGTTCTTAGACGAGAAAGCCGCGCTTGAAATTTGGCTTTATCCTGAGTTAAACTTAGCGATCTTTCCACGAACCGGGCCCAGGTTGTCAGTAGTCCCGTGGGGGGTAATCCCCTGTATCAGGCATATAGGTATGTGCCGCCCCAAAGGGTAGGGTTTACGCGCCCTTTTGGTTTGAAAACGGGTATAGATTTTGCTCATTTTGGTCTGGAATCGAGTATGGTTTTCAAGGGAACTACGGGCGCGTAGGAACTTATTTACAGTTTCAATTCCAAATGAGCTAAGAAAGAAAGAGAAGTATGCGAATTAGAAATGTGTTTTAAGAAATCTTTTTTGTTGCTGTTCTAATCTAAGTAATGATGACATAATTTCTTAAGGGCCAGATCTGAGAATGGGTATGGATTTTAGAGGCTAGGCCTGAAAAGGGGTGTGAAAAATGACATTTTTGGTCTGAAATAGGGTCAGGATTTGGAGAACCGGGGGGTACCACCAAGAATTCCCAGGAGTACTCCCCTGCCCCCGAGGTTAGTAGTACTCACCACACTCCCCAAAGTGAAGTCGAGTAATATCCTTCTGATTTTGACATCTAGCAGCTCTCATAAGGCATGGGTTATTGTATGAATTACCGTCTGTTCCGCACACAGGATCATACTGCCTGGTGCAGTAAAGTCGACATTCGCAGCTCGACAAGCCACTAGAATCTGTGATACATTGTCCGCCATATTGACAGTTTCTTGAGTTGCATGGAACATTGGCTTGCTGGAAAGCCAGTCTCCGACGGCTATCAAAGCTGTCATCTGGCGAGGCAAAGTTAATTATAGCATTACCTGGAGCATTTGTTCCAGTTAGTAAGCTTACATTTTAAACTTAAATTAACTAAAATTAGTTGGACACTCTATTACACTGTGAAGGAGAACCTTTGAACCCGGACACACTCGCTTAAAAGCCGGTTAACTTTAATACACGGATAAAATTAAAACCCCTGATTGCTTTTTCTTGTACGTCCTTGTGGACCGTTTTGGACTGTCAGCTTGGGTTAACATTACTGGTATTTTGCTTAAACCCGCCGAATAGGCTATTTGCACGCTTACGTCTTTTTACTACTAGGACCAGAATTCATTTCGTTTTTTCTTTCATATTTAAATTTGTTAATCCCATTGAGGTTTAAATGACAAATAACCCTAATTTGCATGAGAAAGCAAAACCCTGAAGGATTCTGGTAGTAATAGTAAAATGACGGCATCGTGCAAATGGCCTATTAAACTTAGCCATCGTTCACACTACATCCGGGACTCAGTGTATCAAGGGCGGCGAGCACAAGGATCCTAACCACGTGGCCGGGATTCAAATCTCATGGGCGAATGCAATTTATGGGTGGACATTTTGTTTATTCTTCTCCCAGATCAGTGGTTATCTCCGGTTAATAGATCAGGTTTTCCCCTTCTCATTAAAATCAACATTTCTGGATTCAAATTAGCTCTGGAATATGGAGGACGATGAGCCATAATTTGGATCATCATTTAATTATTGTTATACATTAATTTAGTTGAAAGGAGACGCCAGCAAGAGGGGTTCGCGCGTGTGTTCTCCCTCGGCTCGCTTAGCTCACCATAATTGAACCAAAAACCTTGAGAAACATTTTTGGGCATTAGAAAGCAGAAAAAAAATAGTGGCTAAAAATGAACCCTGGGCGTATTCAAACTCTATCCACTAAACGAATTTTGAACAGCTTCCGCCGGTTTGTAGTCCAGTAAAATTGTATCGTTTTTTGGTCAACTTATTTATTTTGTGCGGCTTTCATAGTAGCCTGCTCGCCGGTTCAGTTGTGCGAGTTCGGGGAAAATTGTGGCGAGGGAGTAAAAATTTTCCCCGAACACGCACAAGTAAAGCTACGAGCAGGCTACCCTCCTGGTAGCACGTACTTTATTGCGCTTTTATTGCTAACTTTTACAATAAGTCGTTTAAGTATATCACACCATGGGCGTCGCCGTAAAAGGATTTGGCTTAAGCAAAGCTAAGCAAACCAAAGTAAGCATATCAAATAATGAAGGTCTACGTTGAAGAATGCCGTAAACTTCTTTTGGTAATCCCCTTATTTCAGAATTCATTTACGAAACACCCAAAAAAATTCTTTGCACAGCCAAGACTATTTCCAGTCAAAATGACTTATTTCGCTTTTTTCAACCGGTCATAGCCAAACTGTTTTTATCAAGATCTTTTAAACGACCAGAAGCAGAATATAAATGCGTTGCCCGACTCTATAATCATGACAAATGGCTGAACTTACGAAAACGTGGAGAGGGGAGGTGGGGGAGGGAAGTTCTTCATTTGATTAGCTTAGACGTACTCCCTGTAAAAATGCATTTAAAAAAAATACCCAGGAAGGAGTACTTCCGTCAGCAAACACGATTGTCCGAGGAATAAGCTAACGGCGTTCACTGTCACCACGGTGGTCCATTCTTGCATTAAAAAGGAAACGAGCCGAATAAATTAATGTTTTAATTAAGAAACTGCTCGAAAGACTTTTTGCTGCAGGAAATAATGGCCATTCGATATTAAACGTTCCTGTATACATTTCAACCCTTAAAAGAAACACCCTTGAACTTTCTGTAAAAACCCAGCATAGCGTCGGTAGATACAAAATAATGGGGAAAACGTGTGATTTGAAAGATTGATCATTTAAGGCTTAAAGTTTTCTGCGGGTATTTATCACTACAGCTATTTAAGCAGATTAGTGGGAAATTAAACACTAATATTTTGACAACAGCCACTCCCTCGTTTGGAATAACGCTATGGAACGAAATCGAGAAATACAGGCCATGGAAAAGCTTTATTAATGGGATATGATGGGACTGGAAGGCTAAACGTCTCAAAGAAAACAGCATTAAATTCAAAATAACGAGCTATTGTAGCTGGGTGTATTTGAACTTTGTACGCATAGAAGCGTCGACAACAAGCTAAAAAGGGGAATGTCACGAAAGCTAAGCACCGGCGTAATAAACGTAGATGTAATAGCGTAACTGCTAAAAACTACTTCTCCAGTGTTCATGATTTCTCACGATAAGAGGACTGTACCGTTTTCAACGATTTTCACTAAATTCTACAGTGTTTGCGTGGAAAACACTCGACTTTAACTGTTACGCGAGGTGTAGTTATCCCATGCAGCAGCAAAACATTTGTAATCAGCTTAAGCGACGGGCGTTTTTCAGAAAGGTGAAGCGTGCTATCCCCTTCGAATGCCAACCACGCAGGCTAAAGGTGATGTTTTAGCGGAACACAGAGTTGCAATGTTGGAACAATGTTGCAGCTATTCGAAACAATGTTGCGACAATGTCATAACGCTGTGTTGTAACATCACCTTAATTCAGTTGTGATATATGTTTGGCTCGATGTCATTTAGCGCTTGGATGGGCTGTTTACATATGATATAGTAAATTCTCGATCTCATAGTTTCTACGAAGTACTGACTGATGAAGTGCCTCCGGTAAAGTTCAATTGAGTGTGTTCGGGGAAAAACTGTAAATCACTGAAAAAAAAACATAAACAAAAAAAACAAGTAGCGCTGAAGGGTCATAGAAGTTCGTCCACAAAGACTCAAAGTCTACACGAGCTATCATCATGGAATGAAAACGATTAAATATCTGAATATCCTTTTTTGATTTCTTGCCAAGATGCCGGCAAAATTTTTGGCGTTGAACTACAAGAAGTTGGCTAAAAAAGACGTTATTTTGAAAGGAAACTCTTTGGTTGTCCTATAAATTGCTTATAAAATTGAGCTCCCGAACAGGAAAAAAATTCAGTTTTGTGATTTTTCTAATATTATTATACCCCGTCCGAGGCAGCTTTGGCTTAGTAATTTTGCAGTAGTTTCCAGTTTTCTTGCGGCATTATTTGGACCCACAAACTATCGTGAGCGTATCCTCAAGCTGTGGCAATAAAATATAAAACTTAATTTTCAGGGTGTTTGTAAGAAAAGCACTGCACTGACGTTCTTTTTACAATAGTGATTGAATCATCATACAAATTTTATGTCTGCGCAATCAATAATTAAAAGCCAATTAACTAGACTTCCGGTATATTTTCTTTTTAAGATCCCGATCTTTCTGGCTCTCCATTGGTTTTTTTTTTTTTTTGGTGATCTAAGGACACATAACGTTTTTGCCCTCGATTACTCAGTGGTCTCGAATTTCTCTACTATGAAAAACTAGCCAAAAGGGAGAAAGTGGAATTTCCGTTTTGTTACGTCTCTCAGTTTTTACAGGCATTATATGTGGGCTTTTTGCTTATCTCTATTCACCTAAATTTTGTCTCACATTGCCGTAATAGAATCGCTTACTCGGTTATCGTAAAAAAAACGCTTGTATTTTTTACTACCCGATATTAAGCCACTCGTGAAAGCTCGAAAACAAGCGTGATAAGTGATTGTATATCTTGTGACTACGGCGATTATACGTGTATACCGAGTGAAACAGATACCCTCGGATGTCGCCTATGCGGGAAAATTTCGTAAACAAACCGATATTCTTGGCTTCACCACAGAAATGCTCGCCGCATATTTCAACCGCAACGAAAATCGCGTTCACTGTACTTTGGAGAAAACGACGAAATCTTAGAAGACATGTCTGAAGGTCAAACTAACAAGTATTTTGATTTATATGATAGCATATCGGCGCAAATGATCCGCTAATTTTGAGTCTTATGCAATACATGTATGAATATGTGCAGCTTATATTAAGATATCAGTAATGTGTTTATTTTTCAATTTCACTTAACGCTCCTACCTGGTAGAGCTTTGAGTACCTTGTCCACCATTTGCATCGTGACTGGCAACGAAGCGACGGCTGTCAACATTCCACTAGAATGTCGTTTTGTAACCCAGAGTCTTAGATCACCTTGTTTATGTTGATGTCCGCAAGAGGCCGCTCTCTCCACCGCATTTATAACAGAAAAGCTGTTTAGATTCGCGTCCCTTCGATACACATTGGCCACGTGAACCAAGACTGTGATTCGATCGTGCGTTTGGTGAAACAAAGTCGTTATTTTGCCAGTGAAGGCCACATAACCCTTGCCAGAAAGGGTTGGTATCACACAAGATTCCGTAACATCATCGCCTACTGAGGCCTCACAAATTGTCCACACAGAAAAGAAGGTGGCAAGAATTTGTACGAAAATCCCGGCCATATGAATTCCTGTATTCTTCGCCGTAGGCTTACAACATGCCGTGAGTATAATCGGCTGGGCTTGGAGGACTATTGCTGCACTCGCGTTTTCAACTTTGTTTCTCGTAGAAGCTATCGAAACAATCAAAAACAATGCCCTGATTGCGGCTAACTATGACATGATGAAAAAACAAACGAAGAATTGAAAGACCACAAACCTATTGTCTCTACAAACTTGTGATTTTGCAGTGAATGATCCCTTTTGTATTCTTGCGAAGTGATTCTTTCAAGTTATTTTACGCTTCTCTAACACAACTAGAAAACTTATACGGTCTTTGAATGGTCCACAGAAAGATTAAATGGAATATTTCTCTCCCAAAGATTTCTCCTTAGGAGCAAATTTTCCAGAGAACAGAGACTCAAAAGGAGAACCGATTAGTGCAAAAGATCTAGCCGAACGAAGAATTAGGAAAGTCTGCGTGCGAATTAGATGAAATTTAATCCGTTTTAACAGCTTGAACTGTCAAAATAAACCGCCGATGAATGAAAAAAGTAAATCATTGCTTAAATTGCACTTCCTTTGCTGAAACAACTGAACGGGCTATTGTCAAATTGTTTCGCAGAGCGCGAGCACGACACGCGAGCCGCGAGCAAGGATAACCAGTCACGCAAGGAAAAGAATTTCCCCTTCTCCTCAATAGATTAGATCCAACTCAAGGCTATTTCTATCACTAGAAACATCGCGTGCATGGCTTCAAAAGCGTAATCAAATTTTGTGATAATCTTAAACTGAAAGAAAAAATATATATATATAACACCGATCTTGTTACCCTTCTTTTTTTTAGTTTCAGGTATTGTTTACTTCCCCCCTTGGGGGCTCCCTCCGGCCTCCTCCGCTCTCCTCCCCACGGGTCACCACGGGCAACGGCAGATTCTGATATTCCAATAAAAACAGCAATATGCTGTTTTCTGTCCCCTCAGTTAAACATCTACAAAACCAGCCGGGGGGCCTTAGACGGGGCCCAATGGAACCTAAAGAACTAGAATACAAAGTGATAAAAATCTCAGGTACAAAAAACTTGGGGGTCATGCAACCGAGGATCAGAATCAAATCCGAACCTCCAGCGGGTGAATATACCATCCCGGAACAATCCGCACGAAGTTTTGCAGTCGTTGTTGATTAATACAATCTATAATTTATTAGTGAAGAATAATTAGGGGAAGGGAGGGGCACTTGAAAGAGAGGGGGGCTTATCAACTTTCTTCCCTGAAAAAAGGGGAGGCTTAATACAGGAGTTGGGTCCGCAGTAATTGGCTTTAGCTGTTACGGTGTCCCCGCCCTAATATTTTGTTTGCATATCTATACATGTGTGTGTGAGTGTGGTTTTTTTTTGTATTCTTCAGGGCAAAGCTAATAAAATAAATAAAATAAAGATAAATCTGCAAACAACAAAATAGAAGCAATTATACCCCCCGGATATTAGCCCTGCTCCTGATTTGATTTAATTTATTATGACGTTCGAAGCTTACGACTCTATTAACCCATTCGCCCCTGAACCGCCCGTGCGGATCCACGTCCTTTCTACCCTTTGTGACGTCATCAGTTTTAACGGTCAAGGACAACTTTGTCCTCTAACTTGTGCAGAGTGAAGACTGAAGAGATCTTTCAAACCATACCAGAATGAGCACAATTCAGTCAAGGACACCGGAGAAAGAGGCAAAAACCCATGTAACATTGACCTGAAAATCTCCATGAAAATCTTGTTCCATTGCCCACCTACCTTTCTTTTCACCTAATCCTAAGATCCTAAAAGCTTTCCTAAAAACTATTCCCACCAAAATGAAGCCTACTAAATGCCCAGCAAGCGAAAAAAAAATGAGGCAAGAAAAGCGAAAAAAGAGGGGAGGAGAGAAAGCATTTTTTCCGTCTTTAATTCCAAAAGAGGGAAAGATGCTCGATGCAAGAATGTTGGCAGTGTCTGAGTTGTATGATGATCTAAAAACGTACGCCTTCAACCCTACCGGAAGAGAGATGTGCCTGTAGGGGGACCCGGCTTATCCTCTAGGAGTTCACCTCCAATCCCCTTTTCATTTTAGTGTTTTAACTAGGGACATGGAGATGTTCAACGAGTCCATGAGTGTAGTTCGCGTCTCTTTAGAATGGCTCTTTGCCGACGTCATCAACTATTTCAAGCTTTTAGACTTCAAAAACAACGGCTGAAGATTGGCTTGAGCCAAGTCGGTAAAATGCACATAGTCTGTGCCATTTTAAGAAAAGCATTAACATGTCTGACCCCCTGTAACCCTTCGTGACCCCCTGTAACCCCTTGTAACCCTCTGCATCCCCTTGTAACCCCCTGTACTCCCTGTAACCCCTTGTAACCCTCTGTATCCCCTTGTAACCCCCTGTACTCCCTGTAACCCCTTGTAACCCCCTGTAACCTCTGTTAACCTTTGTTACCCTCAGGTGTAACTCTTTGTAACCCCTGTTACCCAATCTTGTAACCTCCTTTTACTCCTTGTTATCATTCTTGCATAACCCCTTGTAACTGCTGGTAACCCAGTGTAACCCCTTATAATCCCATGTTTGGTCAAAGAGAGAGATTTTGTAAGGGTACTAGTGAAATATTAAATGGACAGTGTCAGGGATGGTTCCAGGAACACTTCAGTTGAAAATAGAGATGTGCTATAATGAACGAAACGAAGTAACACAACCACCCAGGGTTCACTTAAACCATCTGGTCATGTTAACAAGGTAGCTGAATTAACCTGGTTTCAGTAAGAAAAAGACTATAATGTTTGAGCAAACCGTTAGGGGGCGGCCGTATTTCAAGCAAGCTTAGATTGAAAATACACTTTAACAGTAGTTTAGCCTTCAGTTTTTAATAGATACAAAAAGTAACGTAAAAGTCAGAACACAATCATCGCCCCCTGTGATCCCTAACATTTCTAGCCTCTGGACAGTCTCTGTGGCGAAGGATGAGGCGAATCAACGAAAAAGGGTAAGTGAAGAGGTAAAACATTCACGTCTCTTTTCTTCATTCTCTCCACTTTTTCCTTTAGCCTGCTCTGCTCTTCTCGTCCCATCAGAAAGGCCTGTTCACTCCACAGCGGTCAAACGTCTAAGTTATTATTTTGTTATAATTGCTGGGATTTCATTTACCAGTAAGCGAAAACATGAGCAAAGATGTATCAATCAGCTCGGTAACTTAACTATCTTTTCATTTTTTCTCAAAATGTTGAGTTTTTTTCATTTTCGCTGAAAACGCTTCGCGCTAAAAGAAAACCATGCTGGAAATTGGCACAGACAATAACGTCGGCTTCAGTTGTCAAGCATTTAGAAAACATTTTGAAAAGTTTAGTAATTAAAAACTAACAGAATATTAGTAACGGTGTACCTAAAACTTTTGATAATTAAAGTTTAATAGCTTTAAAGCACTTTGCTTAACTTTTGCAAATTTCTCTTCTTTAGCTGCAGTGAGCCTGTTCACAGGCCAGGGCCGCCTTTGCAACAGTTACGCTATGAAAGACTCCTCAAATCAACCCAAGTAAGTAGCACAGGGAAAAAATAGTTTAATTCAAAAAAGAAGAAACCTAAAGAAAAATGAAAGATGCCTGGATGCAGGCATGACTGCCTATAATTGCTTTTGTTTTTGATAACAAAATAATTATGTTTACCAAAGTAACAGGTTCGTCTTTGGTTATTCTTACAAGTCAAACAGTAAAGAAGTTTTGATGCTGTTGTTCTTGTGGTATCCTCTGATGTCAGGGAGTGTAAACTACAGTTTAACAGGAATAAATAATACGCCCTCTGACAAAATACAAAATGTCACTCTCTCCTAGGTCACCATCCAGGGCAGTGTTGACAATCTGTGCAAAGAGAGAAAGGCGAACAAAATTTTCTTCATTTATTTCACACTTTTTTGTAAATGGTTGGAACCCAGGAGTCACATCATAATCTTATGATAAATAATTATCATTCAATACTACTGTCTTGTTAAATTCTGAATATGCAGCAGCCAACTCTGAAAGTTCTGCTGCTTTGGCTATTGCACACTTACTTTCAGTTTATACATCTTACATTTATAAACTTATATTCATCCTGTGCTTTTTATTGCACTTTCTTTCATCTTGTATTACCTAAATAGCTCAATAAATGTTGTTGCCTGGTTTTGTACTACAATATTGAAGGTAGAAACAAATGTTGTTTCCACTACCTGCCCAAAAAGACACAATCAGATTCTGATGGTTGCCTAGACTCTAGACATGTACAATACAATACGATAAAATACAATACTTTATTTAATGTGGTCAATGTTCTTAGCTAATTAGCTACTTTACAGACATGCCATGTAAAATAAATAAATAAATAAATGGATAAAATAAAAATAATAATAGAAAGAGAAGATTATTATTTTCTAGTTAAAACTCTATTACAATTTATACATAGTGAAAAATGTCAGCAAAAAGCCTGCAAAAAAGCTCTCCATTTTGGAGTCACTCACAAGTGCACGGAGACCGTTATCAGGGCTACACTTACACTTAATTAGACACAATAACCCTAATTTAAATTCTAAATTGTTAGAAAATGCAAATACAGTAGCAACAAGCCCAGTTCATTACTTACCATCTTTCCTCCTGTTGGTGCTGTGGTTTTAATCTCTCAATTTCTGCCTCAAGTTCAGCACAAGCTCGTTCAATTTCATAATTTTTGGATACCAGGCCCACCCAGCTAAAAACAGAAAACGATTCTGATTGTTATTCAAATTAATAATTGTTAAAAGTATGCATACATGTACATCAATGATCATTCAAACAGCAGACCAGAAGTTACTTATTAGGGAGCTTAGCCCTTTAAGCCCTAAGAGTGATCAGCGTCAAATTTCTGTTTGTAATATCACTGCTTTATAAAACAAAGTGGTCATGAGAATTGAGGACATGATCACACAAGATAAATCTAATTGATACTTCAACAACTTCTCCCCACTACTTCTATTGAAAATGTATAGGGATAACAAATGAGAATTTGAATTTTGATATAATAATTTAGAGTTTACAGGGTTAAGCAAAAATGACAGTGAGAACAACGAGGACAGCAAAAAGTAATAAGTTTAAATAAGGAAACAGGAAAGTTTGTTCAATTTATTGCAACACACTTTCTTGTACATCTCTCAGCTGTTGTTGCATGACTACAATGTGAATATTTCTAAAATCCACGTGTTACAGAGCATATGAACACAAGGTAACGATTTTCTTTTCCACTTCTAAACTTGGATACAGACCTTTAGAACTTAACTCTAAAAAAATTTGCCAACATTTGACAAATTGAACACAGTTGCGTAAGAGCAATGAAGTTTGAAAAAGCAACATTTTAGCTGCTGTTACTGTGGTGCTTACAAGTACTTAAGCTCCTTATTACCCTTCCACTTCTGTCCTTGAAGTAAAGAGATCACACACACAGATACATGTACAAGAAGAGATGAAACAACAGCTTTATTTGTGGCAAGGACACATACTCAGTACAAAAACATAGAAAATAAAACGTAATGCAGCTGTATACACAAAACTGAAGTTAGAACATATTATTGCAAACTTACCTTTGTTCCAAGTGCTGTAACTGTTCACCAGCTTTTGTCTAGTATAAGAATGTAAACAAAATAGTTCACAAAAAAAGTGATAAAACAATGTAAATCATTGAACATTATTCAAAACTCTCTCCTTCCTACCCCATTTTATATGGAAACAAGAAAATTGTAACCAATGATTAGTCCAACAAACCTTACCAGGTGACAATATAAGGGATCTTAAGCAACAAGAATGGCAACAGCTATGAAAACGTCACTTAAAAAGTGAAGATACGCTGCTTCAAACTTTGTCGCGCTTATTCCTTCGCCTTCAATTTGCCAAATGTTGGCAGTTTTTTCTGGAGTTGAATTCTAAAAGACTGTTTCTAAGTGCAGGAAGGGCAGGAATTGAAGATGACCTGCGTTTTCTAATTTAACTGGTATTCCTTTGTGGTTTAAACCTCAAAATAGGCACCCCCTCCTAAAAAAATCCTGGATCCGCCCCTGCAGGAAAAGAAGAAGAAAGTCGTTGTCTTGTGCTCAAGTCCTCCACAAAACTTGAAAATATAGGCATTTCCACGTTGTAGCCGTGCATTGGCAGTAAAGAAATGTACAAAAAAGCCTGATGCATGTGTAAAATTGTTGTTTTGCTAATTAAACCTATTGCATTCTTGCCGCTCTCATTGATGTCTTCATCGTCGTTGCTTAAGCTCCCTATTAACAGAAAGCCCCTTCTTGAGTACAGTATTTCTATGTGGTACCATTTTCTTTTCAGAACAGACGAAAATCTTTAGCAATGAAATTCCTTTACCTGTTCAGTCTTCCTTTGCCAGTTTATTTCTTGAATTTCCTTTCTGGAGCAAAAAAGAAGGCAGTTTATTTCTTTATCCTGAGGTAAGGGTCTGAAGTTTTCCTAATGCAAAATTACTGTAATAAATATGAAATGAATATCAACTACAGTAAATCTTTGAAAATTTGTATGGTGAATGCTCATGTGTCCATAATCATTAATGTGTCTTAGAAGTGTAAGAATATTACTTGATGTCCATAAGCTTCTTCTGTTGCTGAGCTAAAATTCTTGTTAAAGTTTCATTGTGAATCTTCCATGCTGCACCCCCATACTGAGATAACAGCTCCAAATTTTCAATTCTGAAAAAAATACATATAGAATTAATTATTTAAGATATGCCAGGCTCTAGCTGTAAAGTCATTCTAGTTACAGAGTTTTCCGTAAAAAAAGTCGTCTCTGGAGGAGTTGAGCAGAGCATTAATGCATTCCAGTTTAGGGCATCCTGTTTTTATACTAGATGCATGATCATTTGGTATATGTGAATTTGCGCAATACCAAATAATAAAATATATTATTATTATATAATAAGATATTATTATTATTATTACTGTTGTTATTATTATTATTATTACATGAAATTAATATTATTATTATTATTATTACATGTAATTTCTAAGATGTTAAAGTCACCTGTTGTGTGTCTGTCCATTTTTATACTAGTCGTTTAAGTCACCTTAAGACCACTTTAATGCCTCTAGCATAAGAATAGCCTATTATAACTCTGCATAAGAAAAGTCATTAGAATGCCCAAAAAATACCCCAAGACTGGAACATGTATGTAGTATTCGACTGTATCTCGGTATCTCTTTTGTGTAGGTTTTTAGCCCGGAAACTAATGTTTTTTATATCCTTTCAGCCTGATGTTCCAAATATTTAAGTTATTACTAGTGTATTGTTGTGTTCTTATTACTAGTGTTTGCATATCTTGGTTTTTTTTTTCTTGCATACCTTTCAGCCTGATGTTCCAGTTGAGCCATGGAGTTGTCCACAGCTTCCGTCCATGATGTTATGTCATGTTTTTGATTTGCAGTTGGTTGAGGAAGTTCATATCTAAAACATTCCAGACAAAAATGAATGTACCAACATAAATTGAGCAATGGAAGACTGAAGATACTATTAATGTAATCTACATATAAATAAATCTGTTAATTAAGGAAGGTTACTTCTATGTATTCAGGCTTAAAATAGACCATCACATTTCTATCAACCTTTTTTAGTTCCAGGAAAATTATGATGTACATGTATGATCATGAGCACTAGACATCTAATCTGAGAAACATTTAAACTTTTCCACATTCAGCCTGTTGGCATCCAAAAGTAAAATGCCATTGCTCAACATTTCTTTACGCTGTTCACACAAGTGGTTTCCAGGTTGCTATCTAAAATGTGCAGACATCCATTTGAACTCAAATTCACACCTATGTTTTCTTGATTATCATGTAAGTGCTTGCAAGAATAATGCCTACTTCAGCTAGTTCTGACACCATTCAACAGTAATCATAGTAATTGACACTCCTGTTATGGTGTGAACATATAAAGGCCTCAAACATAATTTTTTTTTTTACCTTTTCATGCTGAGTAATTCCATGGCTTGTCTTTTGCTTATTCTCTCAAAGTCCTTTTTCAATACTGGTGTCTAAAACAGTACACAAAAATAGCTCACTGTGAGCCAACAGCAAAAAATGATGTTTCAATACCGTTGGTACATCCTGTTTGTAAAATGTAAGTAAAATATGCTATTATCCATTCCACTCAGGGCTTTTCAGGCATAATGAAACAACTATAGAGCAATGTTTTATTACCACACAAAAACAAGCCTGCTTGCATTTTAAATCAGCAATTTTTTGGCAAAATAAAAAAAATAGAGCAAAAGTACACGCAAATGAGCAGTTTGTAAATGCATGTAAAGCCAACTTCCTGTTGATAGACAACTCTGTAAAGAAACAAGTCTTACAGTAGTTAACTTGGACACTAAAAGTTGGTAGAACTACCATTCGTCGGTCACTGTCTCAATGTCTTCATCCCCTATTTTATTTTATTTTATTAGCTTCGCCAAAACAAAAAAAACAAACAAACAAACAGAAAGAATGTTGGCCCTAACATTGACGTACAAATTTTCTACATTGATCTCTTGACATGTCCTTAAAGAATTAGATGAGAGAATTTGATGAAAGATCCAGGCAGTTTTTCTACTCCCAGAACATTTTCTCCTGATGGATATGGGTATTGTTAAGAAAAGAATAATAATTGATGTTGGTCCCGTTGGTCCCCAGGGGGGTACTCCAAATTTCATGTGCAGGGATGATCGAAGGATTTTTTTGAGTTCGAAAGTTTTGATTCCAGGATTTTTTCGGATAAGAAAATTTGGTGAGTATGTTTTGGGTATTTTTTTGTTATTATTATATTTTGTTATAAGATTTAATGCTTTCTGGAATTTTTAAGGCTCACAAATCCAACATGATTTTTTGGGGGGTTTGGGGTTTGTGGGAATTTTTTTAAGGTTATGATTTTTGCCCCCATTCGATCATCCGTGTCACTTGACATCTGGAGTACCCCACCTGGTCTCTCTGGGCAAGGGGTGAAGAAAGAGTTGAGTGTAGGGAGACCCTGTGAGGCAAAAATTCCAACAAGCAACATGGCCTTTAAACAGTGAAATAAAGATGGATGAAATGGCAACAAACAACATAAAGACAGATTCAGGATGTTCATTAGGCATCAGAGATCAGAGAATTCTCCATTTACTACACAAAATTCTCCGACCAATGTTAGGTAGCTTATGACTATTTTTTATTCAGATGTTGTGCTTCTTTCAAAATATTCTCCTGTAACACTATACCTTTCTCCTGTTACTGGGTTTCTTAACAAAAACTGTGCAGATTTTAACCACCACAGCCACCAGAACAGTTACAGATACAACAGTAAAACACCTAAGGGGACATGGCTTCCTCCTCAATAGGCCTCTTTCAAAAATACCATAATACTCTTTATTGTTCCCCATGCCTTCGGAATTCTAATCGTGAGTATCCCCCAATGTCTTTGTATTTCAAGTTCAACAAACCCCCTCTTGCCCTTGGAATTCCGAAAAGCCACCTGTGATATGGTATGGATATGTTTATTTTTGGAATTGCCCATTATTTTAGGCAAGTCAATTTGGAAAATTCCATGCCCAGGAAGAAAGTCAACCAGGGCTGTCAATAAGGGCCAGCAGGTGGCCAAAACCGCTTGTTAGTTAGCCATCCTTAGCCCGCTACTTTCATCTCCTTTTACCATAACTGATAACAAAAAAAGCACCATAAAATAAAATTGTAAAGCATCTGTTTCCCAATTACGAATCACATTGACCACATATTTAAACAGGTTTAGATCTATGAAATGTTCGAACTGTGCAATGTCATGGAGAGGAAAAAGATAAACCTCCACCAGCCTCTGAAGTCTTTTCTACCACCAATGCACTCATTTTAGTGGCTCTGTGGCTCTTCAGTCAGGACTGCTAAGCCACCCCAGCCACTTGAATGATAAGGCCGTTTTATCTCACTGGCAAGCCGCCAAGGCAAATCAAAGAATAATTCTAAAAAAGTTCCCCTGTAATCTGTAGTTATGCCAAAGAGGTTACCGGTCATTTTGCTTCAAAGTCATTTCAATACAAGTTTATTCAGTTGAGGTGTAAATAATTCCACATGCTGGGCTTAAAGAATGAAGAATATTCACCCAAAATGTTCTTCTTGCTTACATGCAAACTATACTTGAAGTTAACGAAATTTTTGGCAATTTTACTGCTTGAATTTGTATCGAAACGAATTGTAACGAAACGACTTGTATCGAATCGACCGGTTTCATAGAAACAAACTTTTCACCTCAAATGCATCATAATCTGGTGTTGGAAGAAAATCCAGGTAATTTTTTGTTGGTCTGTAACGTCTTGTCTCTTCTTCGACCAACTGATTTACCTATATGAAGCAAATAAATGAAAGACACAGAGTTGTATCAGTCAGCCCTCCAGCCCTCCTATCTCTCCCTCCCCAGTTAGAGAAGACGTGCCCGAAGATGATGCCGACAGATAAGAGCAATCAATCAAAATAAATGCTGGCTCTAAAAGGCGTTTACTTGTGGTATGATCAGCCCTATCCTAACAACATGCAGCAAAATATGCGGTTGTCAAGAAAAATGTATAAAAGACACTAGATCAAATGAAACAGAACAGGTTAAAACAAACGAATGGTCACGCATGTTGCGCCGATTTTTCCTCTTAGTTTGTCATCTAACAGCATAAACCGAAAAAATTACACTCTAACATAGGTTATGACAATAAGCCTACCATTTCTCTTACGCCTGGATCGTCGTATCCCTGATCAAAATACGGTAAAGCGTCTGGAGCTACCTCATGAGTTGCCGCCATGTTGGATTCGACTACCAACTATGCATTTCAGGCCCACAGGTATTGAAGGCTGCGAGGGATTATGGGTAGGAAAATTGCTCGCGCAAATGATGAAGAAATATTTCAAGACAAGAAAATTTTACATTCTTCAAGTAAAAGAAAGCTTCACACACAACTTATCTTTTTTACTTCAGGTTTACTTGAGCCTATTTTCCCACGCAATATAAAACTGACATGCTTCGCCTATCTCAAAGCTCAGAAACCGCAAGTTCGCTAAGTCGGTTTTAAGGATGGTTTTCAGGTCACTTAAAACTTTCTCGAATCGTTTCAACTTTCCGACTTCAATTAGATGCAAAGTAAAGTTACTTGAGATTTTACTTACGCCTTCACACGCACATGTTTGGTTAAGTAAAATTTATCAGCCCTTAAGTCTTACTCAACAGCCTAGTGTAAAGACACCCAACCCATAAAAGGTACATGTACCAAGATTAGAATGCCCTCCTTCTAAAGGTCCCTTCTTTCTCGTCTCAAAAAAAATTCTCACCGAGATGGGTACACTAAGTATTACATTTTGCCTCTTTATAACAGAAGCACACTGTCCCCATAAATCAGAAAACACTTAACCCCCTCTTGCCTTTTAAAGTGTATTGGCAAAGATTTCAAGTCGGCCCATTTTATAAAAAAAAATTAAACTGGATTGGGTGCAGTCTGTAAGAATTCAAGTGCAGGAAAGTTCAGCTACTCCTGACATCACTTAAGCGAGCTATAATCGTGATGAAGTTTGAAAGGAAAAGAAATCACATTAGTTCTCGCTGCCGTCAACGCTCCATAGGCCGCACGGTTACCAGTTGTTCCGATACAAGTTTATTCAGTAGAGGCGTAAAAAAGTTTTACGTACTTGGCTTAAAGAACGAAGAATATTCATCCCAAATGTCTTTCCTGTTCACGTGCAAACTATGCTTCAGGTGTTCGGAATTTTAGTGCAATTTCACTGCTTGAGATTGCATCGCGAAACGAGCGGTTTCCAGCTCACGCACTAAAGGCGTTTTCTTGGAGACCCTTTTTGCTCGGCCCACCCCTCTACTTTCCCCAATCTTACTCAGTGAAAAAATTGAAAGCGGCAGCCACGACATGACGTTCATAAACAAGCAGCTTTCGTTCGCCCAAGAAATAAGCCGTCCGTTTTTAAGTCCCTAAACGAGGGGGGATTTCACACGCCCAACCCCTCTCCCACTCCGCGTAGAAAAAAAAATTACCAAAGCCAGAAGATATTCACAAGGTTTTACTATTTATTTCTAATCCAGTTGGACATATGCTTTTCGTACACACTCCGTGGGAAGCCTTTTAAGCTATTTAAAATTGCAATTTGAAAATGTATTTATCACGAAAAAATTCAATAAATAGATGGAAATGCACTCCATGCACCCTATGTACAACTTTACATTATGAAAACTAAAATGTTTAAGTGGCAAAGACAGGGTAAAATCCCAATCTACAAACGACAGTAACGAAAGGAAACCAGAAAATACAAAAACACACCTAAAGTGGCTTGGGGTGTTTAGCACAGGGGCGGATCCAGGATTTTTTTTAGGAGAGGGTGCACTCGTTTCTTGAACTACTTCAACACCAATAAACCACATAGTGTTTTTTTTGCAGAATACCAGTTGTATTAGAAAAGCGCAGGTCATCTCGGGGGGGGGGGGTGCGCACCCCCTGCACCCTCCCCCTAGATCCGCCCCTGTGGCATAACAAATGACTTGTTCTCTGTTCGGAGGAGTTACAGCATGTTTGTTAGGATAATAAAATGAAACTGTAGGCAGTAGGCCCACCTAGCGTCTGAGTAGAAGGGAGGTTAGGGGTAACCTTGTTTAATAGAAACATCTGTGCCTTTCATATGCATAAGTACTTGATTTATCAAAATAAGGTCAATTCAAGCCTTGCCTCAACTCAAGGCCAGGATTTTCAGTAAGCAAAATAATGTAAAATGACCTATTGCGTGGCATCAAAGACTGGCTGATTATTTATGCTTGCGAGTGTGTACAATTAAATGCTATCTTCTCCTGACCCACCCTGGCTGTAAATAAGTTCTTGTGTGAGGGTACATTTTACTGTGCATCCCTGAAATGTCCTGTCCACCTTCTCCAGTTTAAAGAACACCCTTAAGCGTGATAACCGAGGAAAATCAAGTTCCTAGTGAAAGAAATCTTTTTTGCATTTCCTTAAGCCATGCCTTTTTTCCAGACAGGGAATCTACACCAATTGGGTATATAACCCATGACTCAGTCTGGACTGACAAAAGACTAAGCCTGAGGAAAGATGCAACCACAAAAAGATATAAAAGTGGTGTTTACCCCATACCAGACAGGGACTAAGACCAACTGGGTGATATTGGTATGAGTACTTCACTTATAGACTTAAACTCTCCCTACTCCCCCTCCCCCACCCACCCAACAGAATCTGATAGCTCTAGATTAAGGAAGTCAAGCCTTTTTCGCTTTAGTATTAACAATTGTGCCCCATACCAGACAGGGACTTAGACAAACTGGGCAATAACCCACAACTCATTTTGGTATGAGTACAAACTTATGCACCTATACCCTCCCTCCCTACCCCCATGGATGGAATGTAAAAGCCCTAAATTAAAGCTGTCGAGTAAAGACTTTTCCACTAAGGCGTTGTTTGCCTCATACCAGACTGGGACTTAGAACAACTGGGCGATAACCCAGGAGTACAAACTTATACGACCTATAACTCCCCTCCCCACTCAAATGGAACATGATTGCCCTTGATCACGGCTGTCAAGTGGAAGAAGCTAGAATATCGGAACATACAAATATAATGTAATCTCACTCAAGAGTAAGTTAACAGCCAGGCGTATCGTATAGTTAAATTAAACTGCATCTCTTCTCTTCCTTTTCAAACATAAACGCCACTATCTCAGAGCAGAGAACAAGTCATTTACTATGCAGTACATAACCCAGACGATGTTGTCTTCTTGTTAAAACTTTAAAATCCTTTGACATTTTATAAATTAATAGGACGACAAGATGCTTAGAGCCTGGTAAAATAAGAAACTTTGATCTGAAACATTATTGCCAATGCCCTTTAAACAACTAAAACAATTTCAAGAAGTTTTTGCTGTTGAAGTCAAAAACTAAAACGATATGATTAAAATTTCAAACTCTAAAATAACTTTTTCACAACTTGCTGTATTCAATTCCCACACCACTGCAGTTTTCTTTATACATATTCCCTGAAAATAAGAGTAAAACGAACAACGTTAGTTCAATATTCCAAAATTTAAGATTAATTATTATTTTTAATGCCTCTTAATTGCCTTTATTAGTCAGTTCAGTCTGTGAAAGGTTTGAACCCAGGAGTCATTTCAAAACTAGGTTGAGTTTGATCGTCCGGGTGAACGTAGTCCTGAGTAGGAATGTTAACTGTTGCAGTTCAGTCTGGCAACAACGCCAAAAACAAAGTTATCAAACCAAATACAAGTACCCGACGCCAAGCGCAAGAAAACCGTACATGCAAAACGCACTTTGACCTAAGATTTACTCTGATTTCGACTGAGAAAGTGGTGTAAGATTTTTATAGAAAGCGTGGCGATCCAATAAAAAACAAAAATTTTGAAATTACTTTTCAGGGGTCTGGAAACCGATCTAAAAAAATTCCAAGAACCGTGATTATTAGAGAGAGATGCTAGAGGGTTGCTTGCTGTTTAGTCATGGTTCAAAAATATAATCGAGTGGTAAAGGTAATGGTGAGGGCAGTTCTAAAGATGACATGAACCTGTCAGCATGTACCGAACAAGGTCCTTTCAAACATTTCACAAATAAGTCACTGAATTTCTTGGTGCATATCTTTTTTAGTCTATTGTGTTAAGTGAGTTGTTTTTCGGTACATAGTGAAAGAACCACAGTCATTCAACAAGGCGTTAATAACAAGCACTGCTAACTGCAGAAAAAGCAGCTAGTTTGATGAAATTATGACCAGATACTGTAATTATTACTGTACTGTATTACTTATTGTTATATAGCTGGAAATTATTTTTCTCAACAGCGCGTGCTCTCATTGGTTACTTTGACGTCACATGACATCTAACAATGAAACTGTTTCCCGCCAACATCTCTGAGCGGGCAACATTGCAAAAGTCAGGGGGTAACAGTGCAGTGTTGCCCGCGAATGTTGACCGACGACCTCCGTTTCGGCGAGGTTTTATGAATTTCCTGCTATATAACAAATCACTTAAAGACTGGTCCCTCGGGGAACAGTTAATTTTGTTTCTCTCAAATCTCAATGTTTCCCAGAAATCAAAATTAACTGTTTCCCTCGGAACCAGTCATTAAGTGATTATTATTACATTATGATAAACCAATTACATCAGTAGGACAATATATCTTTCGCTTGAGAAATGAGGTAGATTAGATTATGTTCTCAAAACCATTGTCGAAATGAAGGCGGCAGTATTTCACTATAACTATATAATTATTTTCCCTTCTTATTTCAGGGTTAACTGGTCATATTTATCATTAGCTGTTAAATTTCTTCAAAGCGAATGACGTTATGTAATGTAAAAATGTATGATAAATCCACACGCTGTTAAGTTGCTTCAGGCAAACAAATTATAGCAACCATTAACATTAAAAACTTGGTGAAAATAACTGAATAGTTACAGGTTACTGTCCTCGTTAGGAATGTTTGGTTTCCGACTTCAAGAACTCCACAGTTTCATTTTACTGAAAAGCTCACACATGCAATTCCATGTCAAATATGCATAGGGAGCGACTCGATTTAAGCAGCTCACGAGGGCTTCGCTTTGCGGGTAATTCTCACACAAAAGAAAAAAGTACAAGCAAGGATTTTGCTTGTTTTCACACACTCAAATACCTGGGTCCACATTCTTCAACAGAATTCAGGGATATCACTTCTACCTAGAATATAACATGGTGTTTTAGCTGATCCAGATCACTTACAAATATGCATTTTCAATGTGCCGGTGATATCACAGGTACCCCAACCTCGAAAAATGCGCCTCGTATTTATGACAATGTACCTTTCTGAGTTCCAAAATTCTCATTTTCAAAATGAAGCTAAGTGCAAAACCTTTGTTGTGAAAATGAGTTTTATGTGCATGAAAATTAAACATCATTTTCAAACCAATGGCTTTGCACTTAGCCTCGCTTTGAAACAGGCTTAAAGCAACTGTTAAATGGACCGTTGCAGTGGTTTACAATGCTGCTATTTGTAGTGTACAAATCTAGAAAAAATTCCGAGAAATGTAACGTAGTTTTGTTTCAATGTTGTTCACTTTCTCATATATAGCTTGTGTTAGAATAAACAAGGAAACTGGCTAAAATTCCCTACGAAACGCCCCCGAATGGAAGCTTAAACACCTTTGATAAGATTTCTCCCTCCGTTTCAAATCCATATACGAGTAATAATGTTTCAAACAAACGCCTATAACCAACGCTACGCAGAACAGAAATACAATGTCGATACAAAGGTTATATAAACAGCGCTCGCATTCCAAGCTTGGGGTACCTGTGCTGTTGTGAGTGCAGAACGAGTGACAAATGAAGTGCATGTGTCAAGCTATTCACTCCAAATCGCGGCTTAGTGAAGGTGCAGGCTTTTAACATCACTCAAACTCGAATGGTGCGTATTTTGTGCAATCTAGACGGTCAGTGAAAATGCTGTTACCGTAACTGCATTTCTTTTTTCCAGTGATGGGCATATCACTTCCTATAGTCAATGTACCTTAACATTCTCGAGGGACACAGAGAAACTTTCCGCGTAAAAAACTAAAAATTTCCCTAGAATGATCACAAAATAGGATTTCGATTACAAAACCCTAGATTTCTCTGAAGGTAACCTGCGAACGCAAAGTTATTTAATTCCGGTCGTCGCGTCTCTCCAACCGAAGAATAAGAGAAGACCAGAGAAAAACGATGACTGGAAATACGTCTGCGTTTGCAGGCTATTCTGAAAGTGGCTTTTATGGCAGGCGCTTCAGATGAAAGGAAAGAGGAAATGGTGCACGGCCATTTTCTTGGGGTTATAGGAGCTACTCTGTTTATATAAAGAGGGTGTTAATGGAGTTATCTGTTTAGAGCATAACCACGATTTCTTGGTGTGTGCAATAAATGATAGAGGACTCGACTAAATAACTCACTATAAATCTCAATGGATCAGTATAAGATGCTGGAAAACTGCCAACTGCCCCTCCCTAAACTAACATTTTGCCCAAAGTGAGAAGTTAGCGTTAACATTGTATTAGGGAAGGGGTAGGATAGAAGTTTCCCATACTGATACTCACTATCCGCTACACCCAGGAACTACCCCTCTCCTCCCCTGTCGGGGGCCAAGTATAAGTATTTTCCCAAAGTGAATGAATTTTCAAAGGCACGTTGCATTGTAAATTTAAAGGGCTAAGCCAAAAAGCAGGAGTTTTCTTACATAGACTGAAAACTCTACAGTTTAAATTTTAACCGTTTAACATTAGAGAAGGGACTGGTATAAGAATACTTCTTTTTGTGGATTTCACAGTTTATTTTTCCAATGCTATTAAATGAAAATCTTGAGTGTATTGACAAGCAAAACGTAACAGGTATATATTTAGTACAAGAATTTTGGCAAAATGAGAAAAATGTCTCTTTGTGTACTATTAAAAGAGAATAGCTGTTTATTAGTCAATTGTAACAAAATTGAACACTGCGATAAAAGAGCTTTAAATTCTACTGTGTAAGATTTAGCAACAATTCATGGGTATAGATTAAAGTGCTTCACTATAATTAACAAATTCATGTTAAAATGAAAACATTATAATGGTTAGTGGCTTGATTAAAGAGTTAAGAGTAAAAAGGCTTCGCCTTATGAACGATGTTAATGATTTATATATTTCGCACTATTAATAATTATCAATGTACAAATGTTAATGGCTTTTAATAAATACAAGTTTAAATAATCATATACAAATTCTAGAATGCAACCAAATGATTGGTTTTGTCAGAGGTTTGACAAACGGACATACCGGTAAACAAACATTTGCCTCAAGAAGAAATAAACCTTTTTACAGATGTTACCCAAAATTGCAAAGTATTTGCACAGATTGATTCATCATGTTGAATTTTCTGGTATACCTACAGAGTTTTGCAAAGAGTGGTTTTTTAACATCCAGAGAAGCATATCCAAAACTGCAAAGCATTTTATGCCAAGGGCCAGCATATGGACAATTTGGGCAACCATATTTCGAGATTTTGCGACGAATTTTTGTTTCAGAATATACTACGAGCAGGCTCTCTTTTTTCTTAGTTCGTCAAGCGAAACGCGCGAGACAGAAAAATGACCACGCGCGTGACTGAACGCGCGAGACAGAATAGGCGCGAAATTTAAAAAGACATTAAAAATTGCAATTTTGTATGACATTGGTATGAAGGTTTACTGCCTCGTCTGGAGAATTCTTAAGCAGTAGTATCATTAACGGAGTTTAACAGGACAACTGTTACATTATTATAGAGCAAATATTTACCTATTAAAAACAGAAATACCATGAATGAAAACATTTACGTCAAAAACGTTTAAATATTATAGTCGTTATTAGCATTCTACGAGGAACATGGTAGCCCTAGTTTATCACTTTTATTTTATTTTTTAAGGAAAATAGTCGATAGCTATACTTTGATTATTGTTTGTTCGTGCCAGATCCGAGCTGCTAGCTAGTTAAACCCTTTTGTTGTGTCTGTGCTATTAACGTGCCGGTCAGTTTTAACAATAGCCTGTAAAACCTTTTATCTTGTTTGTAAGTATCCTGAATGAAGGAGAGTACTGTAAATCTTCTATTAAGCCCCCCGGGGCTTTATTTATTTCAAATCTATTTGGTGGGGGGGAGGACGGGCGGGCGGGGGTGGGCTTATTCAATTTAGCAAAGACGATGGTATCAGTTCTCCATAAAGCACTACAATACACAGTGGTAAAGCCGTGGACCAAAAAGAAATCCGACCTTCCAGTTGGTTAATAAACCATCACGGATCAGTCCACACGGAGTTTTTACAGTCGATCATTTATTAGGGAAGAATAATTAGGGGAGGGGAGAGGGGCTTATTGACTTTCTTCCCCTGAAAATGGCGCGGGGGGTGCTTATTAGAGGGACAGGGCTTATTTGAGAGGGGGGCTTAATAGAGGATCTACGATATAAACTCTCAACGACATCATGAATTCGGACGTGCTAAAGGTCATTTTGTCAGCAAAACCTGTTTTCATATTAAACCAAGATTTCCTTGTTTACTATGATAAACAACGCTGGTTTTTAATCTGAGAACCATTTTTACCTACAGGATTTCAAAAGTTAGCATTTCTTTTGTTACAAAAAGCTTAAGCTCTCCTTGTTAAAACTTCATTGCTTAAAGGAAGATAAGTATATTGGTACACCTTTAATGTTGTGTTAAGATAGATTCGCTGTGTTACGGTGCAAATTAAAACTAAATACGAACAGTGCAGTTATCTGATCACCGTCACAATAAAGACTTAGTCTGGGCGAACTGCTATTGGATGAAGCGTCCTTCGGGCGAAACGACCTGATACCGAGGAAACCATTCGTAAGTTAATTTGTTAATTTTGGTTAAGCATAAGCTCAGTTACCAACTGTTGTTCGGGAAATGAGCCCACGCTCCTCCCCCGAACAGCCTCTTCTCGGGGAGTACCGAGGAAGCGGCGGAAATCGAGCATACGTTCGGCCGGCAGTGATCATATAATACTGCACGAAGATGCATGAATGTTTTCAAAAATACACTACTTACGAGGATTCCAACATTAGCGACTCCTTGAAGAAGTGTCTTGAAGCTCTTTTGGGATCAATATTAGGACCAGATGCAATCCCATCCTTAAGTTCCGCTCGACTTGATTTTCTTCTAAGTCGACTAAATCGTGACTTCTTCTCCTCTTTCTTTCCTTCCGTATGAGAAACAGTTTCTTCGTCAGTTGACGGGCTCAGCGGACTAAGAGGCTCCAAAATTTTGGGTTGATTTTTGTCCTTGTCACTCTCTTTATCTTTCCATCTACTACTAGTTAAATCTTTCCCAATGTTCAAGAGATCTGAAAGAGACATGCTCTTTTTTCTAGACACTGACAACGATCCGGGAGGTGGGGCATAGCCCTTGTCTTTGCGACTGTCCGATTTAGCGTACGAGTCTGCCAAGTCCAAACTCGCACTCATAGGATAGTGAGATTTATCTGGCTTCACCGGACACCTTGCACTCTCTGAGGACCGTTTACCGATTTTCCCCGCTTTCCCCGCGCGCTCTAGACTATTTGAAGGTGACGATTCACTGTACGGAGCATTTGGTGCGGCTGCTTGTGCGTCCCGAATTTTACGTAAAATACCATTTATATCCGAATCACTTTTACCTTGACCTTTTGAAAAAGTCTCAGGTCGCTGCTTCCGAGAAACAACTGGCGAAGATCTTCGGGGCAAAGATACCTTTTTTCTTTGCGCTTCGGCCGGAGTAATAGCGGACTGGATTTTGTCTTGTGCTAGTAGTTGAGATTTGATATGTGGAGTCGGTTTTGCGGATGATTCAGGGGAGTCAGACAGGTTTTGTAAAACTTCAGATCCTGATGTTTCTCCTAACTGTGAGACGGAAGCATTTCCTTCAGAGTCAGCAGTTAGTGATAAATCATCTTCAGATGTATCAAAGGAAGCCCCTTCCTCTTGCTCGTTATCGGGTTCAGAAATTCGTTCCTCGCTATCAAGCGTAGGAGAGACAATTGTTTCATCAGGTGATGACGAAAATTGATGAAGATCGTGTTCGGTAGAAGATTCAAGTTCAGAGTTAGATTGAGGTTCGTCTGTTAATTCAAATTCCTGAGGTTCAGGCGGAGGTAAAGATGGGAAGTCGATGGAAGATGATTGGAATGGAGACGGAGACGGTAAGTCCGAATCAACAGCAGAGTCATTTAAAGAAGTAGAAGATGATGATACCGATCCCTCGTGTTCTTCCAGTTCTCTTCTTTTCACAATTATACCTTCTCTTAAACTCAACACCCGCTCGGGTGTCGGCCCTTGAGGTGCTGATGAAGAGCGAGACAGGGAAGTAGACTCGACAACTCGTGGTCTCTCCTTAGACGGTGCAGATGAAGATCGCGAGATCTTGCTGAGCGACTCTGATCTTGGCAGGGCAATAGCTCCAACTTCAGCGGCCAGTTCTTCCTCTGGCGCCATGAGTTCAGTTTCAAGCTGCGGTGCAACGCGTTCATCTTTCTCTTCGCCAGCTCCATCTTGAGCTCTCGCGTCCATAGCAAAAGATGTACCGCTAATCGTGGTCATCGAAGTTAACGCAGAATCAGAACGAAGGCGAGTAGGAAGGGCCACACTAGACTCATCATCAGAGTCGGATTCAAGGGACATTATCGATGATGCTGACGATCTGCGGTGCTCGGCATGTGGAAATGCGGGCGAAGAACTGAGCCCAGGTGTGACAAGACCAGATGGACTCACAAGATCATTGTCACTACTGGTCTGCATCTGCAGCATGTTGGTAGACCCCTGGCCGAGTTTGGCAACCATGAAGAGTTTCTGAAACAAAAAGAAAAGATGGTTAGTACTGTAATTTAAGCAAACTACTTCACAGTTTCACTCCCAGAGTCAATGATGGAGTTTCGGGGGGGGGGGGGAAGGAGGCTCTGGAACAAGGTCCCACTCTTCGCCTTTCATATCCTATTTTCGGTTCAATTTAGGTTTCTGAGAAACTGCCCACCCACCCCTCCCTTAAGCAATGCAACATTAACACTAACTTCTCACTTAGAGCAAAATGTTGCCTTAGGAGAGGGGTAGGTGGGCAGTTTCCCAGAAACCTAGACTGATCCCTATTTTCGATATCATTTTCATAATGATACATCCCTGAAAGGGTACAGATACAAATTCTCAAAACTCATCTGTATACATTTCGCTAAAGGATTAGTTAAGAGAATTTGCTACACGATCAAAGCATTTTTCCCTTGGTTACCATTTTATTAATTCTCATAACCTGTTCTCTTGATTACGTATTGATATTGATTTTGGTCACTATTGGGACTTAAAGGGATAGAGTACTTCATACCTGGGCCTTTTTGATGGCTTCCATCCACTGTGACGGGTCTGACACTGTTCCTTGGAGGGCAAATGCTTGCACTGCAATGTTGTATTCGTTCACGTAAATAAGAAGGAAGGTTCCTGAATGGGAGAAAAGAAAGTACAGTTGATCAATTTCGTTACAGCTGCTTTTTCGCCCCATGTACGGAATTCCTGACTCCCGAATCCAGGAAATTTTTGCTTGAGGAATCCAGAATCCTGGGCTTTGGAATCCGGAATACAGCTCAAGGAATCCGGAATCCCACTGACAAAGAATCCGGAATCCAGTACTTTGAATCCGAAATCCACGGCGCGGAATCCAGAATCCAAGACTGTCTTGGATTCCCTTACATGGAGGATGGGGGGGGGGGGACGGGGACGGGGAAGGGAGTGGTGGCGATGCTTGCAGCTTCTTTGTACCTGTTTCATTATCATACTCTGACTAACAATATCTAGGTGTACTGTGAGACAAAAAAGACCCAAGAACGAAAAAAAATGCGTTTGGATAAGGAGGACATGAAAATTTCAAAAATTTCATTGAAGGGTAAAAATTTTCGAAACTTGATAACCTTCATGGGTAAAAAAAAAGAGAAAAATCGTCGAAAAAGAGATCGCAAATCTCCACTTCTATTTCGGCCAATGCGACAAAACGCTTTCAAATGTTTCATCAAATCAACGGTCAAAACTATAAATTCAAACATTGAAATACCTTGATCTTTTGAAGCACTTAGAGAAAGCTTGTCGACTTGCAGAGGCTACAAAAACATAAACAGCATTAATAAACGCACAAGTCACCAGGAGATCATCAGTCCTCAAAAACTATAAAATACATACTCCTCTCCCGCCATTAACTTTAAGGCAGTTGTATTGCGTGAAGTCATTGCTTGATCAAGCTGCAGATAATACGTCCAAAGTCAAGAACTAGGGATTAGATAATTCTGGCACATATTCAAACTTACCGGTTTGATAACTTTAAACCTGTCACCTCCTTTCTTTGCTTTAGTGATAAGAAGAAGATCGGTGAAGAGAAAGACATACACGTCCATCTGAAATGAAAGATGACACAGAAATCAACCTGAGTAAGAATTATAATTCTAAAAAGAATTGTACGTCTCTCTTAAAGAGGACATTCCGTAGACGAAGTTCTTTGGCCGTTCCTCAACAAATTGCTTTAAATCTAGGTCACTTAATTTTTATCTCAACACCTTGTCTCTCTTAGAAAGAGCTTTCCACAGTGTTTGCGGTGTCACAATTCAAGTGACACCAACTGCGCAATACTCCCTCGTGGTAGTGACAATAACGCTGTACAAGGTGTTCATAACTTTTGAATCCGTGGATGAATTTCAAAGATATGATCATTCAAATGAAACTGCTTCAGCAGAACTTTCACATAGTACTACTTATGTAGTAAAAAGTTCCAACTTTTGAGTCTGTGAATGAAATCCTATGATGTTACCATTCAACCGAAACCTTTGAAGGAGTAATTCTACGTTACTATCTATATGGTAAGAAGTCCTAACTATTGAGTCCGTGAATGAAAACCTATGGTGTTACCAATCACACGAATCCTCTTCCAAAGTACTTCCAAATGGTACCACTTGTTTTTGATAATTTTCAATTGCAATTCATTTTTTCTGACGTATCGTTTCTAGTTACACTTGGAAGGAAAAAAGTTTATACCTTGCCCTGTTTTTCTAGAAGTCTGAGAGGTCCCTCATGGATAACACAGCGGTGTTCATCCTCTATTAAGCCAGGCATTGGTCTCATTAAGTCATAGGAACTGTACTCTTGGAGAATCTTTAAGAAAAACAAATTAGCCCATATCAATATATATTTTTTGCAACATATGTAACTTCGGAGACATTTACACTATCCATTCATGCAATTAATCACTTCTTGCAATTTCAACAAAAAAAAACTGCAGAAAAAAAGGTGCACAAAAAACATTCTCTGGAAAATAAACCATGCGAAATTATGATGCAGTTTATTCATTAGGTTAATCAATTTATCATTGTAACTAATTTTTGTGATTTCAACGAAAAAAGCCGCAGAAATTATGGTGCCCAAAAAAGTTCTCTAGAAAAAGAGACGCAACTTTAATTGCTTAAAAAATTCCACCTTGAAATGACCAATATTAGGGTTTCATGGAAAGCAGTTTTTGCGCAACTTAATTTTTGCGATTTCAACAAAAAAAGTCGCAGAAATTAAAATGCACAAAAAAAGGTTCTCTAGAAATAAAGAGGCGAATTAAATTGCTTTTAAAAAATTCAACCTAGAAATGACAAATATTAGAGTTTTATGAAAACTAATTCTTTGTGCAACTTAATTTTTGGGATTTCAACAAACAAAGCCGCAGAAATTAAGGTGCACAAAAAAGAGTTCTCTAGAAAAAATGATGCGAATTTAATGACTAGGGTTTAAAGGAAACTCTTTTCATTACCATTACATTAAATAACAAGAATTAGCAAGAATACGAAAGAAAGACAAGACTGATCAATACCTTATCCATCTCCTCATTGACAGCCTCAACCACATTGTAATTATTTTGAATTCTTTCCGCCGTTGCCTTGAGTTTTTCCAACTCGTGTCGCACTCTCATGGCCCCATTCACTTTACTGACAAATGATTCAACACGGTCACGCTAAAAAAAAGATTTAGGATAACTTATGGTTATAATGAGGAGTCACGCCAAGAGAGTGGCCTCCGGTGCCGACTGACGTAAGAGGCAGAAGTGGCGGGGGGAGGGAGGGGGTTGAGGTTGAGGTAGCATAGGAAATGGTTGGGAAAACACGTTGATGGTGGACTTCAGCCCTTCAATCCTAGACCACTTTTCAGAGAGATAATTTGTCATTCTGACTTTAAATCTATGGAGGAAATTCTATGATGTTACCATTCAAATAAAACCCCTTCAGCAGTACTTTCACATGGTACTATTTATTTAGTATGTAGTTCTAAATTTCGAGTCTGTGGATGAAATCCTATGATGTTACCATTCAAATGAAACCTCTTCAGCAGTACTTTCACATGGTACTATTTATTTAGTACATGGTACTAACTTTTGTGTCTGTGGATGAAATCCTATGGTGTTGTCATTCAAATGAAACTTTCTTTGACAGAAATTTTGCGAAGTAGTATTTAATTCTTAGGATTGTACAAAACGAAATGTCATCTTTTTGACAGTTTTTTTTCCTTTGGTCAATAGTAAGGGTGAAAAAGTTACTTGCGTAGAAACCCATGAACACCTGAAAAGCTTCAAGAATATTTGTTGTGTAGTGACCAATCATAAAAAGAGACAGTACACATAATCAAACCAAACAATCAAAAACCAATTAAAACCATCAACAGTAGATGAGCGTCGGGGAATTGGACAAATCAGTAAGAACTGCCCAGTAGCGAGAAACAAACGCCCCATGACTTGACACCTAAAGCAGAGCTCTAAATACGTCATCCCCTACATGCAACCCCCGCCACCCCACATACCAATCCTTGGGGGAAAATTGCTGAGCAGCATTGTTTCACGTTTGACTTACCCTTTATTACATTTAGCCACATTTACAATTTAGCCTGATTGACTTTTCTCTTGCAACATTGCAACAGCATTCCAAACAAATTTGTTTCTTACGTGATCCTGAGTTTTACCATAAAACACGTGAATTTCTAGTGTATACATATGAAAGAGTGTCACACCTAGAATCCAAACACTGTTGAGTCCAAAAAAGGTTAGCTCCACCTCTTTTTAATCTCCCCACTTCTACATCTTTGAAAATCTTAATGTAACACTTGATCAGTTAACTCACCATTTTAGTTAGATGTTCCTTCACCTCAATGTCAAGAGTTTTGTTGTAAATCGCTCTCACAAGCAGAGGATACTTTGTAACTCTCTGCATGGGCTTCACCAGGAAATCGTTTAACTTGAGCCGGTCGGTGCAATATGGGTGATCTTCACACCACTAAAACAATAAGGTTGTAACCAAGTTAAAGTATACGTGGCCATGAACAGCAGGAAGTGAATTTTTTTAGCTGGGAGTCGTGTTGAGCTTTTTTGTTCTATATTTTATTTATAAATGCATACATTCACTAACCTATTTGTCCCTGGGTTAGGATCTTAGGATTAGGTGAAGGGAAAGGAAGATGGGTAGTGGAACAAGATTTTCGTGGAAATTTTCAGGTCAATGTTACATGTTTTTTTGCCTTTTTCTCCAGTGTCCTTGACTCAGTTTGTGCTCACTCTGGTATGGTTTGAAAGATCTCTTAACTCTGCACAAGTTAGCGGGCAAAGTTGTCCTTGACCATTAAAACTGATGATGTCACAAATGGTGGAAGGGACGTCGATCCCCATGGGCGGGTTACAAGCGGCTCAGGGGCAAATGGGTTTAGGGACAAGGGCCAGGCCTGATTTTCCCCCCACAAGAGCATGACCCCCAACTACTTTAATAAGAAAAACAGAAAATTATATAACCCAAAGAACCTCCTGGCTTTTTAGTTCTCCACCTACTTATTATTGCTGTAAACACCCAGTTTAAATTTTATGGCAAATTTGCCACAAGTTATGCCAAAGTGTCTTCAAAGCAGCAAAACAAACACTAACTTGACTCACCAAAAAATTAAACTACTGTTGGAAAAAACGAAAAGCAGAATAATAGCCAAATAAATTTCCCCTGACCCCAATTCAAATAGTTATTCATGACGTACATTACCATTAAATCTTCACTAACCATGGGGCTTAAATGAAAAAAAACAAAATAAAATGAAAATGAAAAATACCATGATAGCTACTTACTGAGATGTACGTTCTAAATTCTTCATTTTCCATAAGTTTTTCCTTGAAGTACTTCAAACAGTTGGCTTCCTCCAAGCAGTATAGGATGTAAGGGTCAAAGTGCGACTCAAACTACAAACAACATCCAAAGGTAAAATTTAATTTTCCGTCTTAATAACAAAGGACAGTTAAATGTAGCCTGCGTCAGAGACAGTCCAGACTAGTTTCAATGGAGGTGAAAAGTCTTTCCCCCACCCCAAGTGGAGTTAAATTTTGAGCAAAATTGGTAAAAATGTGTCTTGGTGGGGAGGGGGGGGAGGAGGGGAGGGAGGAGGGGAGGGAGGCAACATTGCCAGGGTAGTGGGGAGATGGAGGGTTGAGCCCAAAGCCAATCGAAAATTTGTCATTAGGAGCAGAGTCCTATGTAACAATTACTTTAAAGGGTTTTTCCACAGTGTCCCCCATTATTTTGAGTGACACATCCAGCAGCAAATGGCCCAATCAAAAGTTTGCAACAGTAGAATGACAAATCATATTCATCATGTGCCGCTAAGTGTAAAATGGTTTCATTTCACTATGTTAAGTATTGTAACATTTTGACTGTTTCAGTGCTGCTGACCTTTAACAGGCCATGGTGTTAGTTTGTTGTCCAGGAAAATTAGTAGCACTTTGAAGTGGCCGGACCATTTCTTAACTACTTTAATACTCAATATGAACAAAATGCATGGGCAAAGCCCCCTAATAGAGCAATACATCTTATATTAATGCTTACCATGTTAAATCCTTGTTCCATGTCTAATGGATTGAGGGGATCCTTGGTTTGCCGTGCCTGTACAAAAAAAAGATTACAATTAGTACATTATTATTATTACTATTATTATTATTATTATTATTATTATAAAAAACTATTATTATTATTATTATTATTATTATTACTAAGGAAGCAGAAAATGCTATCTCTTATATACGACCTTCACTTACATCAATAAACACTCTTTTGGCTCTTGTTCTTTTCTTACTTTTTTTTTCCACAAATAGAATATCAATATGACACCAAAACCACATCTTCTCTATTTTTGTACACCAAGTTAAAGGATATGAGAAGTACATGTATAGTTCAGCCACTAAAATGTACACCTCTACATGCTTTGTAAGTCACAATAACCTGTGTAGCAGTCAGGATAAGCAGGACAAAGCTGTTAATTTTTGGTGGTGGAGTGGCATGAAGATTGAGAGGAAGTTTTCCCTTGCGGATTTGATGCCAAGAAAGTACCATGCCCATAACTATACTGCCAGCTACCCAGGTTAATTTGTAAGAACCATATACTTTGAGGTCATGTTTTCATCACTTTTTTGTTGCAAGATTTAGCAAGGATAAAAAGTACAGGTTACTTACATTTTCCACTATTCCGCTGAGATTAGCCATCCAAAATGCTAAATTAACCGTATAAATGTCCTCCACGTTACTAAAAAGCTTGGAACCTTCAATCTGAACAAAAAAGTGGATCATAGTGTAAAAATTACAACGAAGAGTACCCCACTTTTAAGTATCAGAAATCAACAGTCTGTATAACAATATTATTATTGTTATGCAGGCAGTTGATTTCTGATACTTGTTTATTGCCAACGAGCAAGCCGAGCGAAGACGGTCGGTATGCAAGGCGGCCAGCTTATTGCCACGTGAAGTATTGCAGCAGGCAAAAAAATTCTTGATTATGCTGTGAAAAGTGTAATGTATAAAGGTGTAGATTCCCTGGGGATTTTAGTGGCGTTAGATTTCACATGTAGTTTCACGTGACTTTTGATGACCTTTGTTGTAAACAAACGAACCTCCAAAGTTCGGACAATGTTCTCTGCCACACTACTGTACTTGTACAAACTTCAACTCGCTATTTCAAGTTCGCGCTAACCTATAAATGTTATTTCCCTTTCGCTGTTTGAAACTCGACAAGTTTAAGGTTAAAAAATGTCTAAGCAGAAGAATAAGAGCGATTTTAAGGCCAAGAGCATGGCAGAAATGTAGGAACGAGGAGTGCCTGTAGTGGAAATTCTCGGCTCAGCAGCTAACATGGTTTTATAAACATTGGAACTAAAACAGGTGATGTAGGCAAATTCTTTTTCTTTCGTTGGCACTTAGCGAAAGCAAAAAAAACACTCACTAACATCACTTTTTCATATTAGAAGTCATGAAAAAGATTGAAAAATGGTCATACCTCAGTTAAAAATCCCTCACCCTGCAAATTTCGGAGGCACTGGACAAAAAGCTGTCAACAACAAAAAAAATTGGTACATAGAAATTTACCTCCAGAAATAACAAATTATGATTTAATACTAGGAGTAATCGGAGCTTAGGAGAGTGCGTTTGATATGTTTGCTGGGCGTACAGGTAGCAGTTGAGGGGAAAAGGTGGATGGTTCTTGCGATAGATAACCATGATTATGGCATATTTTGAATGTAAGGGTTGCATACAGCGAAACCTCGATTTAAACTGTGTATCATATTGAAAAGGTTTTGAAGGCTAGTGATCGATCAGCGTGATATCGTATTGTTCGTCTCAAGTGCTTGTTATTGTGGAGACACTGGCAGCTTCTATCTTTCTGTTAATATTATATTCACCTTTCTTAGCTGTGAAGAGGACTAGCAGAGCAACACAAGAATATATTTAAATAAAATAGAAAGGAAGGCATACTGCACAAACGCTAAACCATACCTTTTTGATAACATGCAGTTTAGCAATGTACGCTGCCTCTGTTGACAACAATTCCCAGATCGCTTCTTGCTGGTCTTTCTGTTTTTTAGTCATTGCCTGATGAACAGAGAAAATAAACATGGGGTAATAAGAAAAAGTCATAGTACATGTGCCAGCAATTTTACTAAAAATTATTTCCTCACACACACACTCCTGCTTCTAACCAAACATTTCAAGTTGTTGAAAATCCTCATTTTTTCATTTTACCTTAATATGAGCTTCACTGACAACTTCTGTCCATGATGTCTCCTGCAAGTGATTGAAAACAGCGACAGGCATATTTCTTAATTATTTAGTGTGCACGTGAACTCTTAAGTGAGAGCATTGGGGTAGAAAGATGCATTAATTTAGCTTTGCACCCTAAAACTGTTTAACAATATCACTGAGTCTGCTGTAAAAAAAATAGTGATGGTTAACGGTCATATGGATCAGCTAATCCATCACTATGGTGGGCTGACATAAGAGAGCAACCAGCTATTACGTGGGTACCTATGGCAAATATACCAGTAATTGTAACTCTAACTTTACCACAACAACACAATTCAATAAATTAAACTGCATTTAACAAAGATATTAATGCTATCAGGGTTTGATATCATTAAGAAAAAAAGAAATAAAATTCCAGGAGTTTTCCAGGGTACACAAATGGAAATTTCAGAACCCAGAACTCAAAAATATTTGCAGCTAAAAAAATAATTTTAGTGAACAATTTATTATTTCCTGAAGAAAAACTTCTCTGCAGCACCTATTCTTCTAAAAAGAATTTTCAAGGGGCTTTTTAGGGCCATCTGATGGAAGAAAAGAAGGATGAAAGAAATTGCTTTGAAGTTAGCTCCCCTAACTAACTTTCAAAGGATTCTCACAGAATTCAAAATACTTACCAGTTTAATTATGTCTTCAATCTCACTTTTGAAGTTACAATCATAGCTTGAATTTTCTTCCAAACCATACAAGGAGTATCGATCTAAGGCATCTTTGAGTGTTCCCTTAAAAATAATGATCACAAGTAATATAAATATGTTAGAAATGACATTGTCATGGAGGGACATATACACTGTATTGACTGACTTGTGGTTTGGACTTTGGATTTGAAAGAAATTAACTGATATAATAATACATGTAGTTTAAATGTATTGGATACCTTCATTGATTTAGGTTGGCTGAATAACCCTTGAAGCCGACCCGCTGACTTTGGTCTCGGCATAGACCCACTTCCTCCTGTGTACATGCCACCGTGTAGAACTGGACTTGATGGTTGTGGTTGCATGCCACCAAACTCTTTACCAAATAGAGCTTCCATGCTTTTCTTGCCTCGCTGAGTCTAATTTTACCACAAGTAAAAGAACAAAATGAGCAAGGATTTAAGGTTTTTGACAAAAAGCCATAAAGTTTGAAGAATACCCTGGCATGGCATAGGAACATTGTCTTTTTTTAAACAATAATGTGCCCAATTTCCCACAACCTGATTGGCAAATCAACAACAGCTTGTTTTAACAAGCCAATCACCATGGGTACTCAAATCCTGGTACACAAATGGGAGCCTAAAACAAGAATTTCAGCGCTGGCTTGCAGACAGACTTAATCAGAGGTTTAGTTTCAGCCATGGCGCAGGCTAGTCAAAATGTGGTAGAGTCACTGCCAGCAACAATCTTATTCAGGGCCCAGTTGTTCAAAAGGTTACTAACACTATCCACTGGATAAATCTCTATTCAGTCCCTAATAATCATCTGCTGGCTACTGATTTATCCAGTGAATAATGTTATCCAGCGCTTTGAACAACTTAGGCCTGGGCTACAATCACCTGAAAAGTCATCCTATTCAGGGCCGAGCTGTTCAAAAAGGTTACTAACACTATACACTGGATAAATCTCTATTCAGTCCCTAATAATCATCTGCTGGCTAGTGATTTATCCACTGAATAATGTTATCCAGCGCTTTGAACAGCGTGGGCCTATGCTACAATCACCTGGAAAGTCAGAGTCCATCTACATGTACTTATCCAGGACTTTAAGTTCAAACCATTTACTATGTTACTTACATTTTTATTAAATTGTTGAAGTAACTTGTCCTCTTTACCGCTTTCTCTGTCTTTGTCATCATTCTCTGCCTTTTTCAGAGTGCCTCCCTTGTCTTTGCTACCCTTTGTCGTAAATGAACCAGACCGATGCAAGAAAGAGGAACTCTTTGGTCTTGTCATCCCCTCTTCCACACTAACCATGTCTATTATTCTCTGATCCACCTTCATGTCTGCATTAGCTAAAGAGAAGAAAAGTGTATTAAACATACTGCTCTCTTAAGATACCCCACTGTTAATTTCCTAGTCTTTTGCTCAAATAAACAGAGACTGTGGTTGATTGATTTTTGTCATGTGGTCTTGACTAAATTCAAATGTATCTCAATTGCACAATGATACAATTCAGTTATTGTACCCCACTCGGGACATATCTGATCAAAGCATGGTGAAAGGTGGTGTGACAGAAGGCGCGAAAAACATTGCCTGTTTTCACTCCAGTGAATGAACATGACAATACAAACAAGGAGCCTTAAGCTAAAAAGCGATGATTTTCAAAGTTATCCAAAAAGAAATATTGCAGCCAAGGACGAAAAAGGTGTAGATGATGCAAGACAGTACATGTATTTTGTGAATTGTTCATTCAGCAGTTTTAAGAATAAAATTTGTGTTCTTATAAAGCTTTAAAGGACCGACAATGTTTTGATTTGTTTTTTTGTTCTCTGTTACCGTTGAAGTGAAAGTCTAGGAATAACAAAAGACTTAATGCCACACCCCATGGTAAACCAGTTAGTTTTGTTTTCGTGTCCTGATGTTCATCAGAACTCGGGACTCTCTGAAAACATTGTTATCCTCATCAGTTGACATACAGTGTATACTAATAATATTTATATATACACAATAATTATCATGGTCTGATGATTAGAATCTGTTTAAAATCAAGAACTCATTGAACAAAGATAATTTCCGTTTTCATTACAACCTTTATGTTTGATTGTGCAATGTTAGTATAGGGAGAAAAAAAATGTTGGTCATACCTCTCACATGAAGAACATTTCCACCCAGTGGGAAGGTATCGAAGGCAAGTGGCAGAGGAGTGTTTGAGGAATCCAGAAATACTGAGTGAGTTGTAAACGAAAAGTTCTGCGACTCAAAAAGTGGCTCAATAGAATCCCTGTGATAAAGGAGAAAAAAAACATTTCAGAAAATTAAGACTGAAATATTGGTCAGGGGGACAATCTACATTTGCAGCATGCAAAGAAAGGTCTGTTCATTAGCCCACAGCTACTCGCAATCAGACTAGTGAATTCTGTTTTTAACTTGCCCAACAGCTACGCAAGTAACTTCTTAGGGGGAATTTATATCACAGAAGTACTGTAATAAAAACAGACAATTTGTTTAAATTCGTAATGAAATTCATGTGGGTTAGTTAAAACAACTCTTGAGTTGGTACATGTGAGTTGGGCAAGCTGTAAAACAGACTTTCATTGCAACCTGATCTGTACAGAATTATATATTATCACCAACACTGAAAGTCTATGTGTTAGCAGTGTCTTTTAATCTTTAGTCTTACAATAAGCTCACAGTCAATATTTAAGCTTAAGTTGAAAAAAAAAAAATCCAAACATAAGACATGCACTTACAAGCCAACCAACACATGGCTTCACAAACGTAGCACTGCTTCTTACACATTATAGAATGTATAAAACACCATACAGTAACTCCTACAGTTAAAGTGAGTTACATTTAATGTCCTAAAAAGGTTACAAATTAATACTCCTAAAAGACTGACATACCTTAGCGATTTTCCACTGAGTGCAGGGAATAAGTTGATCTGGAATTCTCCAGACTTGTGATCAAAAAATTTAATACTAAAAAAATCCCGACCAGGATCCTAAGAAAATGGAAATGAATAGTAAATATATAACAAGGTGCTTGCATCTGTTTACACTTCATCTGAGAAACAACATAATTAAAACCCAAAGAGGTATTATGCCAAGAATTAACCACCTTATTTATAGAAGTACATTGTTCCAACTACATTAACAGACTCAACTCTTCACTGTACAAACTTTTCACTGTACGTACATCATTCAAAAGCTACAGTGTAAGCATGTAAAGCAATGTTTTTAATGTTATTGTAAAGCATTTGTCTTACAATATTGTTTCAAATAATCAAGTTAACCCTTTTTCTTAATCTCAAGAGTGACCAACATCAATTTTCTCCTAAAAACACTTATTCATTATCCAGAGAAAAAGTTTCGGGAATTTATCAAATGGTCACAAAGAAAAATCCTTAGATCTTTTATCAAATTCTTTCGACGAATAATTAAGGAAATGTTTGGAGATCAGTCTGGAGAAATTGTATGTAGTTATGGGGCAAGACAAGATGATTTATTAAACTCAGCTCAGTTTTACATGACATAAAGGTTAAATTCACATAGGCGACTAAACACAGTACAACTAAGCAATAAAAGAAAAATGTAACAACAAAATAGAGAGCGAGTTGGAATCATCCAAATAGCAAAGGCTAATCTAGTGGATGACACCTACAATAAAATAAAATAATTGAGAATTGAGAGCATACATATATATATATTTTTTATATATAAAGTATTTATTCATGCGGCGCTTAAAGGGTCAAGACTGTTTGACAAACTCACATCTGTGTTATGTCTCCTTGGTTTCCTCTTGGCTGCAGTGTTTAACTTAAACATGCGCTTCCCAGAGGAATAGCCACGATGTTTCTTGTCACTGTTAAAACAAAAACAAACAAATGAACACCACATATTTATGTAGTGACAGGAATGTATGAAAGTTTACACAGTTTCAATTACCGGTAGTTTTATCAGGGGCTGGATTAATGAAGGCTTCCTAAGTTAACAAAAGTACATATCTCAACTATTGTCAAACAACAACTGGCTTTTGTTAAGGAACTATATTTAGGATATTTCCTATCCTACAAGGTCTTTGTGAATCCAGCCCCATGCAGAAAACTTCACTAGCATGGCTCCAAATCACCTTGTACATGTTTCTTAGAAAAAAAACACTCTCAGCTTAATCTCATTCCAAGCAAGTTATGTGAAGTTGACACTAAGGTGTTCTCTAGTGTCTTGTGTAAGAGCATACACCTTTCACCTTGCATTGCCAGGGCTCAAAATAATTTTTGGACGGTGGCCGGACACATTAACCAGCCAAAGAAATTTTTGCTTCATAAATCCTGTTTTCTGACCAGTCAAAAAGTTGCAGAAAAAATGAACTGATACCCATGCTGTTTTCTCTTAGTGAATGTGATTGTATTTTTTCAAAGAAACAAAATCTAAGATTTACAGGTGAGGATTTGGCTGTTTGTTCAGGAAAGACTGGTCAACATGACTGGCGAGTGGAGCCTTTGGCCAGTCAAAACGCCATTGTGGCTGGACATTGTCCATCGAACAGCTGTTGTTTTGATCCCTCGTTGCAAAGAACCCTTTAACTTTAGTTATCCATTTTATGTGATTAAAGTGCTACAGTGAAAGGTTTGAATGCAGAAGTCATTTCATAAGTAAGTTGAGTGTGATCGTCCTGGTGAACGTAGTCCTAAATTCAGGACTTTTGTTCACCTGGACGATCATACTCAACCTACTTATAAAGTGCTACAACAACTTCAGCGGCAAGTCTTCAATCTACATGTAATTACCGCCAAGCATACTATTAACATGACGCCTGACACTGTCCTAATCAACATTCTATTTCCCTGATCTGTAGTTCTAAATGTCTTATTCTAAAACAAGTGAATGAAACTCACACTTTATTGTTAGGCTCAGATTCCAAGTCATCTTCATTCCCAGAATCTGAGCCTGCTGATGGCCTCCTGAATAAATTAGTACTAGGCCTCTCTAAATAAAACATAGACCAAATTTTAATCAAACAAGTGAGATCTTATGATGGGAATACCGAGAGACGGCCAGCCTTGAAAATAAAAAATGGTCACAAACTGGTCTCAAATGAAATTCAAGTTAAAGTTTGATTGTCAATTTCCATTATTTATAACTCATGATTGGGCTAGGAGACAATAAAAGGAATGATGAGAAACTAGGTTGAAACCATTTTAACCTGAATTTTAATTTACAATAACATTAATCACATTATGGATTATGCAATCAAATGCAATTTGAGATCAATAACTTTTGTGAAAAAGGACTAGTAAATAACGTTAGAAATCCTGAATCAAGTGCCAACTTACCTGGTACATCAAACCTTGCATGATTTGACGCTGCACCAAGGTGGTGAACTTCATCACACTTCAGGCAAAGAAGAAGGGGATTTCCATTATTTATCTCCTGACAATCTTCATGGTGACAAACCTGACAAAAGTAAAACAATGTATTCAAGCTTTCTGAAACTAAATACAGTTGAACCTCACCACCACAGCAACCTTGGGGACAGAAGAAAGCAGCAGCCATTGTAGAGAGGTTTAAACTAGAGTCAGGCCCTTAGTGGAAGGCATAAATACTCAAGGCTGTGCTCTAAGGAAAATTGAAGGGAGCCCAATGCTCTGAAACTGTAAAATCTAGGGTGCCCAGCATATGATTTGTATGAAAAATCTGAGATTTGCTAGTTGCCCAAGGGCAAAAGTTAGGTGCCAGGGGACACCGGGCTCTGCTAGAGCACAGTCCTGAATATCCAAGCCCTTCACTCAAGCTACACATCTCATTTGTGTGCTTGCTGTAAACTATTATAACTTTGTAACAAGGAGAAAAAATTAATGCCCATCTGAGTTCTCGTTGAAATGAAATAATCCATAATGCCACCATTCCTCTTATAAACAAGAAATGCTTGAGACTAGCTCTTACCATTTTAAGACTACATGTAACGTCTCCACATGTTCTATCTTACAAAGTTTTCACTCGCAGGAAAAAACTTAAACATTTCGCCCCTCATTCCTTGCAATATACATGCAGGAACAAATGCCTTTGTAATAGTATGACAGCAAAATTATAGAGGAGCTTTGGTAGAGGATCTGATCTTGTCAGATTTATTTCAATTTTCAAGTGCTGCATGTAGCTTTCCTTTGCCTTCCTTGACCTTCCAGAACAGCATGTTTTACATTTTCAAAATTCTTTCTTTCCAGGGGAGCTGAGTAGATGGACACTGCTATTCTTACCACAACTCAAACCATGGACTAACATATACAAATTTAAATCGCATTAAAAAAATAACCTGTTTCCATGTGCGGTCTTTGATCTAGGTCTATTTCAATAAAATGAAAATCGGTTGCGGATAAAAGAAAATTAATTAATGATACAAACACTTCAAGCCCAGGGTGAATTATTATATAGTTCACTGTTATCCTTGGTTTGAATTTTATGTTTCTTTTCTTTTTGCGTGTTTTAATGCATAATAATGAATATAAAAAATAGATGTATCAAATTTGAACCAAGGATAAAATTGAACCATGGCAAGTACAGTAAAATGCCATTCATTAGGAGTTTTTAAACATGATCTCAGCCTTTTATTTTTGCTTTACATCAATTCACAAGCTCTTCAAAATGAAAACAAAGATTTATGCTTTCTCAACAGGAAGCAGGAAAACTGATATGCATTTAACTACCGTGGGGCAAAAACATCCTAGCAGGACAGTTTTACTTTAATTAACTTAACTACAAAATCAAATTAGCTAAGATTCTGAAACACAGTGGTAATCTCATTTATAATACATGCACTTTTTTCCGCTAAGGAAGTTCCGCACAGATTTTGTTTTGTTTAAATAACTGATAACTGCAATGTTATTGAGAAAGTGATTTACAACTATATGTCACAGACACTTTTCACACAGATAATTTAGAAAAATTAAATTCAAGCAAAAGACATGTCTGTGGCAGAGAGAGCATGATACTTGAACAACAATGAGAACCTTGACGCATTACCGAAAATTGATCTGTCTAAGAATTTGCAAACATCAACTCATTGTTCATGACTAAAGTCATGTATGTCTGTAGTAATCGTATGTGCTGGAATTTTATCTCTGGCACCAATAAGGATTACAAGTATTAATAATACTTCCAAAACAAAATATGCCACGGGCAGGGGCAGTCTCTCATTTTTTATCGCAATGGAATAGGACACAAACTTGTTAACAAGAAACAAAACACAAAATGTGTATGTTAAAATAGTAGCAACTCTTTTCAATCTTCAACTCTGTTGAACTATGGCAGTGATTTATCACTAGCAACCACTGATGACAGGAAATGAGCTGATTATGAGTTAACTAACAACAGATAGCCATTAATTTTTTCAATTCTCTCATGTCTTTGAAGTCTTGATTATTATTTTCCAGCTTCAATATCCACACTGTAGAAAAGACTAAATTTAAAGACATTCTGAATGATTTAATTATTGAATAGATTAATTGACAAGCAGTCCCCAACCCTAGCCCTAAAATAAAGTTGTGTTGAAGTGTCAAGATTTTGTACGTGACTCACCCCAAACTGGGTTAAATTATTAATACACAGCCTACTATCTCCAACAAGACAAATATGTTTTCCTAAGGGCAGGGATTTTGTACAAAAAATAAGTTTTCATCCTTCACGTGCACAAAGAAATTACATCCAATCTCGTAATTATATCACCCAAACAGAATGAAGAAAAAATTGTCAAGTTTTAACGTACATGTACCTGACATTTCTTTTATCACCATGCAAACAGCTTCATTAAGTAACACAAATTTTCACATAATGCTACCATGGCAGTAAGTATTGGATGTCTTTTACATGCATACAAATACGGGTTGTTCATAGGACATGCTAGCTCAACTTCTCATCATTTTTTTACATTTTAACAACTCACATGAAAATGCATCAGTTTTATTTCTAATGAAACATGCAAGAATTAACCTCGGCTATAATCACTCACTTGATGACAAACTCAATGTTATTTTAATTAGCAATGAGTCAGATAAGGTCACTCTGAAAAGTATTTCTTAATTAACTGGGACAAATATTTATTGTTACGAACTAATCAATGCAGGTAACTGATTATCACGTCCTCAAAGATCAACATCCGATCATGAAAAATAAATGTTGAGATGGTCAAAGTGTTCTAAATATTTGAATGATCAATGTTATATTCCTCAGTAGTTCCAGCCAGTCTAAATATATGAGACTGTTAAAGAAATAAATTACACATGACCAACTGAATGGAGGTACAGAGCATATAATTATCGGTAATCATGCTGTACTTGATCTCACTTGTAAGGTTTAGTCCACATATAAACATTCTAACAAAAAACTTCAAGCATAAGTTCTTATTGTGAAAAGCTTTATCACGATTTACAAGTACATTAGATTGCTGACCAATGGAGACTGTAAAATAATGGCCTAAATAATAAGGTTGCAACATACCTTTTGCTTCATTTCGCACTTCCGAAACAGAAATCACGACATGATCACGTGTCTAGGACTAACTTACAAGAACAAAAACGTCAAGTAGCCTGAATGACAGCTAATCACACTAGCTGGATAAATGTCAGCAACTAGGCCAAGCCTGACTTATTTCTAGGAAAAGAATCACACAAGGGAGTCACCACTATACACCTGCCACAACACGACCATCTGCTGAATTCCACAACTGAAATGTACAACCGTGAACAGCCACATGCAAAAATATGGCCTGAATTTCTCACCCCATTATAAAGGAAGTAACCTGAAATCTGATCTAGTTCACGTGATAAGAGACAGTCTAAATTGAGTGACAAGCTCAAAAATTACAATGCTTGGTTAAACCCTAAACTCTGTGGTAATGGAGAAGCATTGAAAGAATGCCATTATTTTTCCTTGGACTTGCAGTTCTCTAAGATCAGCACCATTAATTATCGCTGTGCTAACTTCATTTTTAAGGGCTATATTGTGAGGAGGATGATAATGCTGTTTTAGGTCAATTCTGTACTGAAGTCATTAAAGTTAGGGCTTTTGACCATACACAAAATGCTCCTATAAAGTTATGAAGAAGATATGAAACAATTCTACCACGGAGCACTAATCATAATGCTTTTTTGGTGATTTTTGCAGCGACAGCAGTAAAACTTTAAAAAGTTGGCCCAAATTTTTCAAGTGTTGATCCACATCCATCCCTGCCATCCATTGCAAAAGACAACAAGAAACAGTTTCAAAACAAAACTAGACCATTGTTTTTGGTATGCAATTGATGCAAAAAAAGTTTTGGCTTTTTAAAAAGATAGCACCTAGTGCAACATAGCTCCTTGAAGCTAGTCCTTTGGGATTACCACAAAACAAACAGGTCTTTAGGTGATAATGGAATGCTGATAATTGTCAACAATCTACAAGGTCACCAAAGGGTAGCATATATTTAACCAACACAACAATGAGGAATCGTTTCTTTTAAGGATTAAGACGATAAGCCTAAAATTCTGGAGTAGACGAATTATGATCAGTATCTGAGAGTAAGAAAACCTTGTGGAATACAAAAAAGCAAGTTGCCAATGTCATGAAAAGAGGAAAGTGTACATCATCATCTTAACGCAACAATCAATTCCCTTTTAAAGGATTAAAAAGAGTACTTCTAACAATAAATTCTGAGTTCTCCAACAGCACCTGCAACCAGCTACAATAATAATAATTGCCACCTAGACATCAAGGAAGCATCAGCTCAACTCAAAGAAAAAATTTCAGAGACAGATATATCCTTGGTATTTGCCTCTTAACACTTAGTTTGAAAAAACAAATTTGATATAAAACAAAGCAAATGTAAGTCAATGAAGGCACAGTACAGAACCATCCTCATGGCTAAAATTCTTTTCCCTGACTCATGGCTCAAAATGCACTGAAATGCCCTTCTCAGCTACCACACTGAATTATTTTTTTCCCAGGGGAAGACCCCCCCTTCAAAAGAAGGCAGCCCGCAAAAACATTTTTCCTAAGAAATGTGCCCTACACATTTTTTTGGTACATTTCAATCTAAGAAAATCAAGCCTTCTTATTTTTCAACTTTAAATTTTCCAGAGAAATTCCTTAATAAATTATAAAGGTTGCTTTCCTGTTATATGTGAACATTTAAAGGAGTTGATGTTACAACAACAAAAAAAGATTTTATAAATGAAATCACTTTTAATTATTGTACCAATGCATGTTTAAACAAATTGAATTCCAAACAAAATGAATAGTTGAACATAGCCTTAATACACTAGCCTCCTGATTTCTCAAACTCAGATTTTTTCAAATTCCTGATAATATGAGCCAAACCTTAAACTGTTAGGAATGGAAAAAGAATGTATATATGTAATAAGGTTAAGAATCAGCATGCAATGCAAGTCTTGTCTAATAACCATGGGCTGGTGGATTTTACAATCGGGCTAGTGAACTCTGTACAGGGGAGTACAGTTCAAATTTACAGAAGTACTGTATGACAAATTGAAAACACCTAATGGATTCAAGCGGACCAAAAGACGTTTTAGTCTTGGGAGAAGCCAACTGGTTGGAGACAAACCAGTTGACTATTTACAAGCATGGATTAGGAGTTGAATCAGGACTACCAAGAATATAAGCAGCTGGCTGTTAGGGCAGGGAAAGACCTTGGACCCTTGGACTACAATTCTAGCACCTTAGCTGCTCTGCCATGTCACCTCCCTTAAGTAGTACTTCATCCACAGTTTAAAAAGTTAGAATAGTCAAAATCATTCTGCCTTTACCAGGCCTAAGAGTGAAAGAAATAAAAATCCTCTCTCGGACTTGTAAGTACTTCATCACATACTTTGAATCGTATAATTAAACCCAAATTAAATTTCTAAATACAATATATGGTATATGTACAAAATGTCCTTATCATACAAACCGAGATAGTTTGTTGGAACTAATAAAATTATCGGGGAAAAGAGGAACAACAGACACCGAAACCCCAGAATTGACACCAACAGATTGTTTAAATTCTGCTGGCATGGTTTTGAGTGGGCTGGAGTATTTTTGGAAGTTTTCACCTGAATTGTGCTTGCTTCCTTTTTTAGCTCAACCCCAAACTGAGCTGTGACGATAGTAACTTACAAGAACTTTTCAATGCTCTATAACTATATTTTCTCATAATTGCCTAGGTAATTGTTCTCTCCACAGGAAGCCTAGTCTTTGATGGAAATTCAAATAGTCTAAACCGAAAAAAAATCAATTTTTTGCTGTGACCTTCAGTCACATGCATGAAACCCGAGATCACAGAACATCAGATAAATTGCTTGTTTAAGATCTTAATATATAGCTTTTTGAACTTTCCAAGAATTCCCGCACGGAACACATGCAAGACATAGGATGCAAAAATTCTTGAAAAAAAAAGCCTGCTTTTATTTCCTCACATGCTAGGACATAACATTCTCGCAGGGAAATAAACTGAAATTACACTTTAACACGTCTCGTTATTATCTTGATTAATTTCATTTTTACATCACTTTCAGTCAAGAGAAAGAACAAGCTATTTGAAGCAGGCCGGAAAGAAATCATGTTGTACTTTAATGGTTTCAAACATTTTGTATTATACAACATGATTTAACCTCAAAGGGCAATTAAATGAACTTTGCTCAACGTATGTAAGTTAAATATAGTCTCAGCATAACAACTGTACCTTAACTGCGACTTCTTTTCCTGTTTCAATACTGCTGGAACAGAGTTTCCCTTGACAGACCTTTCTTTCGCCTGCAAGCAGATCGAAACCACATAGTTCAAAGGTTGATCCTTGAAAAATCGTCTCACCATTAAATTTTATATGGACGCTTTTGTGGAGAGCACTTAATAAACCGGTTAATACTGCATCTAGAACATGCTGAGATTGAGCAGACAAGAATCTGCTCGCTAAAATCGTTTGGCCTGTTTTCCAATAAAATTGGCAAATAGAAACCTATTATGAACGCATTTCCTTATAAAGGCTTCAATACGTATACGTCGTACAACTATTATAAAGCTTAGTTTTAAGTCATCGATATGTGCGTTAGATTTCATTTGGATGTCGAAAAGGGTAAATAATGACAAAACTATCCAGAATGCTCATCACTGACCTTCAACCAGCTTTTTTTAACAACCTCTGACAAATTTCGAATCAAAGAAGAATTGTGTACTCACGAAACTTTTTCACAGGCCATTTACGAATTAACTTAATCAAACAAGAAAATTACAATTTTCTAAGGCGAAAACGCTTCCTCGTTATTAGTCACAACACTTTGTTAATGTAAATTTATGGTCTAAGCAACAACTGACCTTGTAAAATCATCTCTGGGATGTTAAAGTTATAGAGTTTGTCAATGGGCCGAGGGAAAGTGCTAGAAGGGAAGAAGCGTTTCGGTGGCACTTTCCTGTGTTGTACAAACTTCAAAGAAATCCGATAAAGCTTTCCTATTATGCTGAAATCGCTAGATAAACAAATAAAATTTACGAATTGGGCACAAATGTCCTACCTTTATCATAGTGGTCAAAATTATCCCGACCTGAAAAACAAAAACAGTGTTGTGTTAGTTATGAGAGCAGGTTTGAACGCCATAACTTGTCTCCTTGTAGCAAACTAATCCGAAATTTTCTCGTAAGCCTCCAACCTTCATATTATTCAAAACCGAGGTACTTAAAACGACATTTAATCCCCAGTGACACGATGAAGGCTTAAAAGTTTGCCTTTCCCAAAGACATCGTATTTTTTCAAGAAATCTGATAATTTAGACGAACACCAAACAACTGAAACAGTAACACTTCACATAACAAGAGTCGAAGCCAAGCGTATTTGTAGAAATCAGCGCTCTCACCGATTTCGGGCATATCGTCAAGATAGTCTCCCCAATGCTACATCCGATGTCATTCCTTACACAGTGAAAACAGAATAAACGACACCACTTTGCAGGAAGACCAAGGAAAGCTGTCGGCAACGATGGGACAGGGCAGGAAACTATTTTCTCCACTCAAAACAATCGATCCGAACAGTTTTAGCCCTGTGGCGAGTTAGATCATTGTAGATTAGAACATGAAATTCGATTCTTTTGCACGTGCTCAACTCTATTCAACTTGAAGAATTAATCGAGGATTGATGTCTTGAGCACGTTCCGGCGCAAAGTGTCGAATAACCGGGGCTAACCGAAGAAAGAAAATGCAGTCTAATTTTTGTCACAAGATTCCTCCATGCAAATTGTGAATACTGTGAAGCAAAGCGAGATGGGCCCGCGCGATGACGTCACATGGTAATGACCTGATAATTACATCTCCAAAAGAACCAATCATTTTACAGGCCGAAACCTCTACCGTAAACACAACAATTCTGAGTTCAGAAGCAACCACAAAATCTCCAAAAACCGGCGTATACAGATAATAGAGCAGCTTCTACAAATAACTTATTAATGTTCTTTGCTAACCGTTCAACGTTTCGCTTTATGCATCATTTTGCGATGCCACTGCAACTCAACCTACAAGACACTGGTACCGAAGCTCAAAATTCCGTAAAATCGTAATTTTTTAAAGACGACTGTTTACACTGAATTGATCATTTTCTAAAGAAACCGAGTTAATATGTAACAATTAATGTATTGCAGTAATATTTTGATGTGAAATACTTAAAAACTGCTAAAATATTCGAGCGTGCATCCAAGACGACACTTGGGACGGCTTAAGGACTTCAATGATGTTTTTGTGCTTATTGTTCTCCGAGGAGAAGAGCTTTACCGCAGAATTCTTTTGTTTAGCTGACTGTTCTAATAACTATGGAGCCGTTATAGCCGGCTTCAACGGAAACAAGGAGTTTGAAAAGAGCACAGCAAGCAAATTTTTGACGCACCTTGGTTTGGAAAAACCGACCCATCCACTGTGATCCGCTACAGGCCCTGAACCTTCAGACAACTAGCAAATTGTTTCGTCTACAACTTGCTCTATTGATTTGGCAGTTTTTTAATTACACAGAGACCTCTAATCTCTTGTTTTAATTTAAACGTACAATCCGAGTAATATTGCGTAAAACACCAAGAATATTAAATGCACACATAACGCACCTTTTCCGGGACTGTTGTGCTTAAATAAATAATTAATTAAGTTGTCAAACCTGGAACGTGAATATATATATTTCTGTAACATAGACGAAACCTGATTGCGCTCGGAAACGGAATCGGTCAAAACTCTTCCCCCTGGCCCCGTTTGTGGAAATGTGACAAAGAATTTTTCTTAAATGATAAACTAACAAATTTATTGTGATATACCCAAAGAATTTAAATTAGGGCGGTTGTTGTTTTTTTGGTTCGGGAAAGTATCGGGCTACAGGAAACAGCGAATTGCTTAAAAGTAACTGAAATCAAAGCTGTAGTTGTTATATGGTCTTATAGACTTAAACAGTCTTTCAGAATCCCACGCAACTCTCTTAACATGAGGAGAATTTCCTTGTCACATTGAAGTGATTGGACCAATCTTCTTTTTGATGGAATCTGTTCCCTCCAGTTCCCGCGCTTAGAAGCTCGAATTCCTTCAACAGATCAATCGATTTTGTCAAAACCGAAACCGATTACTTTACGGATGCGGCTGTTTTTGTATTTTTCATTTGATTTAAATGTTTGTTGTTGCAAGGATATGTGCTATAATACATATTCCATCGCTCTGTCTGTGACGGAAGATAAAACAGAAGCGTGAAATTGTTGACCTTGGCTATGACCTTGGCAATCATTTCGCGTGTACAGTATCTTATTACCATGTTTTTGGTAATTTATCGTGTCTAGAAACAGCCCATTCATTTCCGTTCGACTCTGGATTGTTTTCTTCGCCTGATAAAAAAGTCACTTGCTTTTTCCTCATACTTCAAATGAATAGGAATGGTTTTCAATCCCAATGACAAGTGAGTCAAACATTTTCAAGTCTTTGAAGGAAATCATTTGGCGTGACCATCAACGAAAACCTCTTACAAGGTATTACGTAACTTTTTCAGTCTTTTACGATTTTTCTCGAAATGTAATTTTTAAGAAGAACTTTTTAATGTCAATGGTTTACCCTTCATCACCCCTTTTATTTCCTGCGAGGAGCGTTTTCCGGAAGGAAAACAGCCTCGTTCCATCGGGAGCCTCCTCATTTAAAACTATCCTCCTATCTCTTTTTTTTTTTCCCTCTCTTTGTTTACAGAGAATCATCCATGAAATCATGGGAAAGAGAGGTTTTTTGAGCACAGAGGACAGCTGACAATAACATAGCTTTTTCATGTTAAACATTTTTAGTCAAGTCATTTTTTGCGTTTTTCTTACCCGTCACGCGATAAAGCGGTCTGTCATTGTAACGTTTTATCGCGATCTTTTGCTAAGTTATTGTTTTCTTTTCAAGGTAGAGAGGATATCAAACTATTTCTTGCCATTCCCCGAATTTTTATTGCATGAGTTTTGACAGTATGAATTGTTTTTAACTTTCCTGTTTCTTTCAGGAAATAGCGATTGAGTTTCAAAGACCTGTAAACGAAGGCACTCCGCTTTAAACTAGCAAAAAGGAAAAAGACGAGCTTTATCGCATGTCTTTTTCGCCATATTCATTACGAGTATATCATTAAAACACTTTGCTTTTATACTAGTTAGAGAGGTTACAAAATTAATACAATCTTTTTAAAAAACGTAATATAAACACCGCAGGCTAAAAATTAATGAAACCAATTAAGTTTCGCCTTTCTATCGATAGTACATTAAAATATCGATTACCGACAACGTGCTGCCATTAATTATATAGAAAGGTCGTTAACATGTAGAACGAACGATATTCAGTAAATGTGTCAAGCGAAGTTCCGTTTCGTTAACTTAATTCGTTTGCATGCGTAAGTTCGAACAAAATTGATAGCAAGATAACGGATATTGAGATAAATTGTCAGCTCGGCAAGGAAATGAGAAAGATGCAATATCCATTAATCTAGGATGAGAAAAAGCCTGAGTCATTTTAATACCGGGTTCGAGCCTAAGACAATGCCGGAGTGAAACAACTCAATTAAGCGATTAACTAAGAATCATGAACAATCGAAACTGCAACCCTCTTAAAAATAACACTATCAATGATGAATAAAAATTAACGCAGCCATATAGCCACAGCGAAAAAATAAACTGTGATCAGGTGTTTTACTTTTTTTCGGGGAAACCCGAAAAAGGGAAGAAAGACCGCCTGATCGCAAGTCAAAGATAACGCAGCCCAGGAAAACAGCAGTGATAATCATATCATCATCATCATCATCATTGTCGATCAATTTATGGCCGCAAGGGTACTATACTAAAAATCGTAAATGTTAACATGATATACATCACTGAATTGGCAAAGCAGGAATTCATAACCAGATGTAGACTTGCTACCAGTCACCTCTCGCGAGTTTCACGATAACAGAAAATTATAGAGCTGTTGGACAAAGTACTTTTTCAATAGTGTACTTCAGATTGTTAGATCTTCCTGTATGTTGACCATTCCATAGGCCTGTTTCTATGGTAACAAACCATTAAATAGGCTTGGCTAAAGGCTCATCAAGTTCAATTTAAGCCGATTTTTCATGCGGAAACAGAAATGACTTGGCAGCCTTAAATATGTTTTCCAAAGCACTTCAGTAAAGGGAACTTTAACTCCAGCAAAACAACGAAACAAAACAATCCATGAAAGCATTTGGAATCGTTCCACTTCAAGATGCGCAAATCGCAAACTGTGACGCAATTGCAGTTTCTTTTACAAGAGTGACGTGACTGTCTCTCATGCCAAAATAGTTTTTTTTTTAACAGGCTAGTATAAAATCAAAAGTCGCACCCGATCTGCTGCGCGCGAGGCGTTCTTGATTTCCGTCTCAGCTACCTGGAGAGTTTTCACACCATTGTGTGAAATAAAAATAACTGGCACGATCTTGTGGCTGGCTTTAAATAAGTTCTATTTGCTTCCCCCGGACGGCGACACACCCTCTTAGGGCATGTCTGTCTGACAGCCGGTATACAAACGAACCTAACCACGGGGAGAAAAGTTGCATATTATTACCTTTGACTCGAGTTTAAGATGTGACAAAGTTGGATTGAGCAAGAGGGTAAGCATGGTCTAGGATAATCAAACGCGTTTGTGAGGGTAAAGAATATAATCTTTGTACAACTCAAAGTAATAGATGACAACAACCTTGCTCTACCTTTGACGCGAAACAAAAATAGTGTCGCCTTTGTCGAAAGATAGGGTGACTGGCCTTAACCAACTCTGACCAGAAAAATTACCGCGCCGTGTGGCAATATATCGTTGAATGGGAAGGCATGCATGAGCTAAATTATACCAAGAGCCATAATGGCTCTTGGTTATCCAGGATGCTAAGGGAAAAAAAAACAGACCAAATTATTAGAGTAGGAGGCTATCCACGTTAAGTCGAATTTCTTGAATGTCAGGAGCCTTTGCTCCTGTGAATGTCGATCTTAATGCTAAAGCCGGAGAGGTTGATGCCCCGCGAGTGGGTAGCCTGTGTACAGACCCCCTTCCCCTCAGGAAAAAAATCGTGAGGGAGGGGGGTCTTTAAACAACCTACGGGTTGGTGGGTTGAGTATATGAAAAACGCCTCAGTCGCTAGTTCTCAAATCTTCCCTATCCCACCGCTTCCAGAAGGCAATCACTTGCGTGGTAAGTGCGTGACGCGAGTACTCATGCCCCGCGCCCCATGTCAAATGATTTTCATGATGTCCACTGATTTCTTCAAATACGTGATTTCCTCCCAGAGCACAGAGCATGTTACAAAGATGACGGAAGACATCGAAATTACGTTAATTTTCCCGGGAAAAAAGTAAAAGCGAGCTGTTTCTTCACTTGACTTTTAAACAATTATTTTACGTTTCGGGCTAATAGCAAGTTACACTCACTGTGTATGTAACAGCTTAAAACAAGGGCGTGAAGTTGAGCAACTGACAGTCTTGACAGGCGCACTCCTACACTATCACAGTCTCATACTTTGGTAGACAGAAAGATTTCGAAAGAATAGAGTCAGAGTAACAACATTACCGTAAAAATGTCAAAAAACGTGAAGGCTTAAAAGGGCAGGCAATGCAAATGGTGAATTATTCGTCAACTCGAAAGACAGGTGAGAAGATTATACGCATTTAACGATACGGTTCGTTCGTCGGATGTCCCGAAGTGGCACCCAAAGGATATGGTGCATTTTGGAAACTTTTCGACCGTAAATTTTGGAACCGAGAGAGAACCAGTGTATCGAAATGTTGAAGAAACAACTTGTTTTTTCTCATGGAATCTGCAATGATACATGGATTAATATATTTTCACAGACATTTGAGGATGATTGACCTTTAGGTCAAGCAAAACATCGTATTTTTTCTACAATCAAAACATGTCAGGCAAACAAATTTTTGAAAATAGTGCTTGTGAGCACTGAAAGCCGGTCAAATAATGCTTTACCTCGTATAAAGTTTCGCATTACGGTTTTGATAGAAGATCATCAATAGGGAGCTTTCACTTGATCGGATACCTTCGCATTAAACCTAATACAGAAAGTAAACTACGAACAGAACGAGATCTTTAAGCGTTGTAGCTAGTAATCTCAAATCAAATAATGAAACCTTTCATGATGACCTGAACTAGTCACAAGAGTACATTTAGGAACGGCAATGCATCACTTTATCCAACAATCTGCTCATACTGTTTCTCAATCCAGCTATTCGCTCCTTTTTGCATCCACTGTTCAAGGGGGTTTCGAAACATCCTTAACCCAGAACAGAAAATACACTACATACCCTGGTTTCTACTTTTTCTCTTGATCCCATTTTTTCTTTCCAGTCTTCTTTCTTTAGCGCGTTTCCTCGATCTTCTTCTTCGCAGACTTTGCGCGGGGGACACTTTGTATTTTTGCTTTGTTTTTCTTATTCTTCTGGACATAATTTCCGTTGATGAGTTTCGTTGCATTGCCCGTATTTTTTGAAATTACAATGCTCTTATTATTTTTCTGTCTCTGACATGACGATGATAGCCGTAAGCATCTTTGACGTCATCTCCCGATTAAACTAGTAGCAAACACAAACACATTTCGCCCGGAACTGATCGTGACTCAAGACACTTTAATCACGTTTGCCCCGACTAAGAACAGACCCACCGAATGCCAAATATGGGCAGCTTATGTCGGATTAAGATCATTACGGGACAAACTCCATGCCTGGGTCCAGGGCCTGGGTCAACGACTTCCAACCAAAATCCCCTTGAGTCTTGCGTCACCGATATACCGCTCGACTTATCCAAACAACAACAGGTTAAGAGGCGGCAAAACGCTAAGGATTGAAACACAGTTCGGGCAATTGAACTTGACCAGTTGATTGAACTCCAGCTAGTAGTCTAGTAGCATTTGCAGGATCAAGCACGCGCTAGTCAGATGCGGTTCTGTTCACCCGTCCGCGAATGGGACAGGGTAAGGAAGATGGTGTGACGTAAAGCTACCAAGGAACTGTAAGAGGATATGAGTGGTAGGCAAAAAATAAACTAATTTGTGGGCAATAGGACGTTGTTGGTACAAGGAACAAGGGTGAAAAAATTAAGGAAATTGGCACGTGAACAACAGCAAACCACAGAAAATGGAATCATTGTTCTTGAACAAAATCATTCGAAAACTTGGGCAAGTGATTTGGTGGCGCGCGTAGCGCAATATCAGCTGTAACTGTAAGGTCTGTAAGGTTGTTGCTGATCTAATGTGATTTAAGTATTCTAGAACGAAGATTGGCAATGAGTCAGGAGAAATGAACTTAATTAACCTAATAACTTGTGGGGAATCTAGGCATTTAACATCACTCCCGCAAAGGCTATCTTGCGATTAAGTTTCGCTTCCCGGCTTTTGAGAAATCTGGGTGCACAAAAACAAGGGATTCCATTATTTTAACAACTGTGGCGCATAGATCATCGTTGAGAAAAGCCGTAGAGTCTTCGTAATTCACTGATGACGCTCTCGCGTGTCACTCACCGTTCCCGAAGGCGACTTCCATAAATATGCTTTAGGGATGCCTTTCAGAAAGTTTAACATCGCGGAGATCAGTCTGAGCGTAGTGCCGGCTTTATTTTACCTTATCAGACTGTGCAGTAAAAGACGGTCCTAAAACTGAGAACCAAACAAGAGTTAATTTCGTGATTTTCATTATTCTAGCGATGTTGATATCCAATGCTGTCTTTAACACAGTATGACGACGCTCTTGGTTTGAATTTTAAATTCTTTGCGCACAACTCGAAAGTGATACTTGATCGGATAAAAATAAGGGCTTTTCGTCCAGAACACCTCAAGTGAGACCATAATCTGCAATTTACACCCCTTGGTGAGACGACGAGCACACCCGTCGTTTTATAAATATGGGAGTTCTACCTCGGAGCCGCAGTTCAGTAGTGACTATTTACGTGCAGAATCCTCGACTACCGTGTCACTTGTTGTTTTTGATTATTTAATAACAGATATATTTTTTTCTAAAATTGATTTTGTAAAGTTCTCCGGTTTAAGAGTTTTAAGTTGACTTCACCCAGGATAAAAAGTGACAACTCACGGAACTGAGTAAGGATTTTAAGAAGTAGGATGGTGAATTCGATCGGATTGATTTCCATCAAAAAGCCGGCTTCGTTGAAGCGCACGGTAAATATTCGCAAAGAATCCTAGCCGATATGAAGCCGCGGCAGGAGCCGATATAATCGGCTCCTGGCCGCGGCAGGAGCCGATATAATCGGCTCCTGGCTGCGGGAGAAAGCTTGAGTTTCTAAGAAACTCGAATACCAATACTCACTGATGGTGGAGGGACTAAAAGACGGGTTAGTACTCCGACTTAGAAAAGAAAATAATTCATTTAAGTTGTTTGTTTAGCTTTTCACTTTTTGAGAGGCCTCGGTGGTGGTACTTGAAAAATCGTCCGCGCGCGCGCCCATATTTCTTTTCTGCCGTGCGTAGGAAAAGAAACACTAATCCTACTTGTCCAGGAGATCGCCCATCTTATATTCTCGCAACCCCCTTTTTGTTATTCTCCATAAAGAAGCTTACCTTGGGTGCTTGGGTCCTACGCTACCGGGGAGACGCTAGAGGCCACAAGTACTTTATAAAAGGGCGTGGCTCTCACTCCCTGCCGAGATCGGCAAGGGGTGAGTCGACATTGTCACTCGATGCTTGAGAGCTTGAGCTGGCGGATCTTACGTCTATGCCCATTTCTAACTCCTCCGTGTTGTTCTGTGCATCGTTACTCGCTCTAAGGGTGAATTTAAACTGGCACTGGTCTGGCTCGCACTGTTGAATCAAGACTTGGTTACTTTTCCCGAGTTTTCCTATAGAGTTTTTCTGATTCGGCTTTCCTTGCAGTCCATGGGAGAAATCTCCCCTTGGTGACTCCCCGGGAGACTGAAGTATGGGGCTGACAGCACCAGAGTTTCTCCTGGCTCTGCGAAAAAGTTCTCTGAAGACATATCTCCTCTGACTTTGTGGACTTGTTGTCCCAGAAAGAGTTGAGGTTCTTGCGCCTGGATTCCAGAAACGGGAAGCCTGGTCCAAAAGCCTTGAGGCTAGACCGCCGTGTCTTGCATTACCGGCTCCGGTTCTTGATAAGGAATTCCATGATCTTGTTGTAGGATTCCAGGAACTGCCTTCATAAACTTCCTCTTCATTATCGTCGTCACTACAGGGAACCGATCCCTCAATAGAGTCTCTGTCTCTGCGCACGCGCACCGGCCTCTGCATTCTATCAGGGGCGGGGTCGCTGCTTTCAGAAACCCAGCTAGAGGAATCATAGTCGTAGAAGTCCAATAGATTCTCTACCGGCGTAGGTGGAGTGGTTGAACCGGAATTTATCGGGCTTCTTAGATCCAGCCATCGGCGATATTCTTCGACTTCCTCTCGTAGTCCTAAAACTCGGTTGGAGTCACTTTCAGATTCACTTGTAGAATCACCAAGTACGCCGCTTATCGGTGAAGAAGACAGTCCTAGCTCTAATCGATAACGTTCCAGGTGATCACTAATTCTTTGCATTACGCTCGATTCGCTGCCAGTGTCGCTTGCCGTTTCATGGGCATGAAAGGCGTCGGTTTGAAATCCGACTATCTCACCACTACTCAAAGAATCCAAATCAATGTCGCTGAAGTTTAAAGAAGGCGACCGGGGCCTGTCTAACGGTAACGTGGTACGCGGTAAATTCATCGCACGCTCGAAATGTTTCCTCGTCCGCTCGCAGTGTTTGCGACATCTCGCCAAGCGTTTCTCGATGGGAAACTCAGTACTGATATCACTATCGCTGTAATCTAAGCTTTTATTGCCGTGCTCAAGACAAAGCAGTTTACCACTAAGGGATCTTAGCCCGTGAGATGTAGACGTTTCACCGGAATCGGGAGGAATCCTCTCGTCCGCTGCCTCGCCCAAATTTTCGCTATCACCAGTTTCCGTGCCCGAGCGCCGTTTGGTAACCTTTTGGTACAACTGTTTCCATGCTGATGGGGACAGCAGTGCGCAGAGTCTACGCTTGGTATCATTTTGACTGGCTGCTACGCATTCGTCTTGTATCAGAGAATCTCCCTGCTTACAATTCTTTTCCATTGCCTGACTGGTATCTTCTTCACCGCGCGACTGCCTCTGTTTCTTTCCACGCCTGTTGCGCTTGGCGCGTTGTTTCTTCGTTTTAGAAATAGGCATAGAATCTCCTTTGTATTCATTCACAATCTCAATTTCCCTTTCACTTTGTTGAATACCTTCACCTCGCATACAGAGCTCAGATCGATCAATACTTGAACTTTTCTGCATTTCTTCTATTTGCCTTTTTGGACTGAACTGCGGCGACTTCACCACAATTGCTTTACAAAAATTATTTTTCTTTCCTTGCCGAAAACAGTTTGCGGAACGGTACGCCTTGATATTTTCATCATCGTCGTCCAAGCTGTCAACATTTGTACATAATCGAGATTGACAGTTCCCCATATCTAAGATGATTTAACGTAAAAATGTACTTTTCCCCGCTAGACGAGCAGTCGTCCTTTTTCGAAGTCAAAAACAAACTTTTGTGTCTTGCGTTTGTGACGTCGCCGACGTGGTTTTGACGTGAAGATTAGAAAAACCGAAATGCGCGCGCACACGAACGCCTATCTTCACGTACACATTTTCTTGCCGAAGATAGGAAGGCGTTCCTTTGGAGACATTAGACAGCTTTTGCTAAGACACATAAACTCGACAGTTCCGTTCTCAATATAGGTCAATTAGGATTTGAGTTTCTGCGCGCGCCGTAGTCACGTTTTTTTTGCTAAAAAAAATAGAGAGATCTAAAATCACGTTTACGACAAACGGCATAAGTGAATTTTGTACCCCGTGACCAAGTTCTCCATTCCTTGCTGTTGACTTTTCACTCCTCCTACACCGTCAAAAATTAGTAGCTTCATGGCAGTTTTATCTACAAAAATTTATCGACGAATTAAATTGTCTTGGACCGACAAAGAACGAACAGACTGATGTAAAACGATTTTTTTTTCAAAATATTAATGCAACACAAAAGCCGAAAGCCTGGAACAGTTAGCTGCATGCATACATGTATGTTACGGCATTTTCACAGACTTACTTTTTTTTCGTTGAGTTTAATCTTGGGGCACTAAGTGGTTCTATAGGCTTTAGATCTGTGCATGAAATCCAAATTGTGAACTTTCACCAAATTAAAGCTACCGAACAGTAGTACTTTTCTGATGAATACTGTTTCTTATATGCTACACAAGGTGGTTCTAACAGCTACGAAGATTAATTCCTTTTAATTTTTGCGGAATTTTAAGCGTGACCAGATGACATTCTGTAATTCCAGCAGTGCTTTCATTGGCTGGTTTATAAGTTTGCTTTTCAAGTAAAACTTTCCTTGTTTGATATTTAGTGTAATATGACCGCCCACGGAAGTGGGATAAATGCAGTCGGATAAGCGCGTTGGTTTTCAAATCTGATTTTATTCACAGCCATACGGCCATCGACCGCTTAAAACTGAACTTTGAAGAAACACCTTAGTAAATAAACTGCGCCGTTCACTTGATTTTTCTGTTTGCAGCTTGCCTGTTTTTGCAGAAAATATATACGTATGGTCGTGTGTTGACGCAAGTCTCCTACATACATGCGTAGATATCATTTCTCATACGTAATAAAGGCGGAAACTACTTCAGTTCACGTGAGAACTGAAGTAATTTGACCAGGAAAAACAACTGAAGAAAACCATGATACACTGCAAATTCGACAAATTGAATACCAAGTTACTCTGAAGTCATCATTCGCAAACTTTTAGAACTTTGATATTCAGCTAGACTGCAGTAACTATCTAGACCCAATCTAACTGTTCGCAAAGTTATACTGTATTCTCTCTGGCAAGTTCTCCTTGTTCGTCCAGATAAGAAATGTTTCAAGTCTTTTCTCTGAAAGAGAAAAGAAATTTCCATAATCTCTTATCTACTGTCAATTATGCGGATTAAATAAGTCACGATTTGACGAGTGTTTTCCTTCGAAATTAAAGGTCGAACTCATTTAAATACTGTAGACAGAAGTTAATCAAACAATGAAATAATTTTCACCGACGGCTTGACAGGCTGTTTGTACGAAACAATTAAATTACACAACTGTAAGTCGCTGCTGGAGCTTTAAGCCGCGATAATTCATGTTTTCATCATGGAGTTTAACTACACGTGCCCGTAATTTATGATAAACCCCAATGCCCACCAATACGCAAAGAGGATTTCAGAGAACTGGAACATCAATAAATTGTTTACATGGCATAAATATCAGCCTAAAACCGCTGCTTACCTTGAGTTCTTAGCTTTCTAAGACTTATTCGTCGGAGGAATAGTATTTCAAGAATACACATTCAATATTGCTCACTTCGTGGTCGTAGTATTCCTGACAAGGTTAAACTGGATTTACGAATTGATTTTCCATGTAATTCGTTGTTACACAGCGACACGATGACTTCGTCGTCGATTGACTGCCTTAATTGTAGCCATGCGAAAAAATTGTTATCATAAAATAACCGGAATACGTTGCGTCAACTTATATTCACGATAGCAAAACGTTTTGTTAAGATTCTGGTTTCCCCGGTGATATTACAAGACCAATTAGAAGAGTTTTTGTGGTAGCTCTTATAAAGCGACAAGAAACAAATTTGAAGTACTTGAGATTCAACGCTTTAAATATAGGTTTGGAATTTAAACTATCTCCCCTTAAATGTAAACAAAAAAGATCGTATGTGTCATTTTTTCGATAATTCCATATATTAAAAGCATTGTCTCAGAAAATTCGTAGAGAAACACGATGTTTCAATGTGCAGAGTATTTACTTGGGTGGTGGTAGGTATGTCATCACGAAAATGTATTCTTGAATTTTGAGTTTTTTGTCATTAGCCATTTTTCTCTCCAGATAGATAGTTCTAGCAACTGGGGGAAGAAGAAAATCGACAGAAACATGAAAATTACTGGAGAAATTACTGGAGCACATCTTAGGACAATCTCGTCTCCAGGGCTTTCCCCTCCCCTTTTCTAAGGGAAAAGGCCTTAGGACGAGGCTGATCTCAAGGCAGTGGGAAGGTTTGGGGCAAGGACAACGTCAGCATGTTCCAGGCGTTCAGATGGTGGAGATTGGCGCGAAATGCGCTTTGCTTTGCGCCTTCCCCAGTCTCTGAGCGCCTGGAACATGCTAAGACAATAGGGAGCTTTAGCAACAATGACGGCGCCGAGAACGTCAAAAGAGCAATAAGTTTGATCAGCAAAACAATAGCTTTGCACGTGCAGCAGACTTTTTGTACATTTCTTTGCCTTCCCTGCACGACTACAAAGTGAAATTCCCGTATGCGACGTTTTATTGAGGAGGTAAACACTCGACGACAAATTTCTCTTTCTGCTTCTTTTAATCTTGGGTTTGGTCCCTTAGAATTCAGTTTCAGGGAAATTCACCTACATGTGACATTTTAAGTGAGTTGGAATATTCGCAACAAAGTTTGAAAACAACGTGATGTCCTTTTAAGAGTGACACTGCTAAACCTCCCTTGTGACGACCGACGAAGTGCGCAGGTACCGGAAGTTGCGTTCAGTCCTTTCCGCGATTTTTGGCGTGCTCATTTGACGTTGCGTTGTTTTTCCTATCTCTGTCTTTGCCCCGTCCCTCTACGACGTCTTCCGAGGCCTTCTCGAACAATGCATTTCGGTGACGTATCCGAAACAAACGGCCAGGACGCTCGGACCACGTGACTTGAAACGCATCAGCTGCGGGCAACTGATAAGGCCTAGGGACAAGGCAATCTCTGCCTGACAAGAAAGTACAGAACTCGCGGGGACCGAAAGAGAACTAGACCGAAAAAAAAAAAAAGAAACGAAAACAGGAGGTCCTCGATCGGTAAAACCACAAGAAGTAGTGGGCCAATAAAAAAGAGGACTGACAGAAAAGAACAGGACGAGAGACAAGTCCTTGCCAGGGAGAAGAGAAGCTGAAAATGAGATTGAATTAAAGGAACCAGGAAGATCAGTAGGAAAGAGGAAAAAAGAGGACCAGGAGTAAAAGGGGGACGAAGAAGACCAAAAACAGAATAATAATAATAATAATAATAATAATAAAGGATGACTAAAGATAACCTCTAGCGTCTTGAAAAGGGTGTCTTTCTGGACAGTACATCTCGAAGAGGATTTTATATTTGGGCTGCACTCGAGGACCCTAACGGTCTCTTGTCTTAAACAGAGCGGCGACATGCATGAAAGGTTATTGTCTTAAACCCTAACCCGTCATGGTATCTTGCTTAAACAGCTCAGAGTCAGAGTTAGAAGGCCTCCGTAGTACGACCCCACTCAAACTTCCCTTAATTTAAGGGTCCCTGTAAGGATACAATTACCACAGGCCATCAACAGCTGTAGTAGATTGATTTAAACTAATCTTTCACTACCTGTGCAGCCATTCTACATATTAAACTTCTCAACATTTAATCACTTTCTCGCTTTTCTGCTCAATTAAAAACTGGTACAAACAGGGAACCCCCTAAAAAGCTTATGTGATTACTGTCGCAAATGGACTTGACCAAATTTCATTTGTTCAGGGCTTTTTCGTCGGATGTTTTTAATGAAACTGAAGAACTATCCTGATTGTAAAATGACTATTAGGAAATACGCACAATTAGTGACATCTTTTCCATACATTCCTTTTTCATATTTTTCTCCTTCGAGTTTTAAAAATTGTGAAATTTTCGATGAAGAAAAAACAGACCGAGCTGGGGCCGAATAATTTATTTTGCTTCAACTTTCCAATGTTATTTGCCTTGGGCTATAAAAAGGTCTGTTAGGATCATCATTTACGTTTTTCTTCGTAACGAAGCCGGCAAAATGCTCAATTGAACATAAACCGATTTTTTAAGTAATAGGATTGGAACAGCCAGGAAAAAACAAGATGCCATTTTAAGCCGACATGGTATTCTAAAAGTGGACGAAAAGTTATCCATTTAGTAATCGCCGGCTTTCTTTGACAAAGATAACAAACGCAGTTAAAAATTAGGCTTTTAGAATTTTTAGGACAGATATTGAATTAAAGTATCTATTTAACATTCTACCGAAAAGGAGTACGCACACTACGAAATGAACGTTACGTTTAGCTATCATCAACGGTTGTAATTTAAAAGATAAGGTAATACAACCCGAAGAGATAAAAGTTGAATATTCTTGAGGAAAACGCAAAACAAGACTGAAAATAGAGCGTAAATACAAAACAATCTCGTGTGTTCTGATTAAAATTCAGTATTAACACGCACGTTTTTTTAGCTGAAAATAAAGCAATAACTATGATATTTTAGGACTATTTTTAGGCCTTTTAGTGTTAAACTAATAGAGGGGCATTAAAATGAGAAGCATGGGTTAAAACGAAACTTCAATATTTACAGTAAAATAATATGCATGTTAAATTCTAGGCTCACTATGTTTTTATTGCTTTAAAATTTGAAGATTCCTATTAATTTTTCAAGGTACCTAATTTGTTAGCACCTTAGTTGAGGTTTGGAAATGTAGGCGGTAAAATCTATAAAACATACTTCATACATCGTTAAAAACCGCTTTAGTTTACTGTCAGGGTATCCAAGAACTAAGGATTGCTTATGTAAACTCAAAAGCGATTTTTGCATGTTGTTTTCAATAACCTACCCTGGGTGCCAGAGACTTTTCCAGCGCGGTTTCCGTTGATTTCTCTTTTTGTAGGAATTATTTAAACTGGGAGCGTTACAGAATAAAGTTTGATATAAAAAAGAAATATTGGGATTTTTAAGTCCTTCTTCAGACGAGTCTATAAACCAGTTGCAAGCACTTTTGAGTCTAGATGGAAGAACAAAAGTGTATTTTGCCTTCTACCCGAATACACGACTAAAAACCGAATTCAGAGATCAAGAGTTGTTCTTAGTTAGTTATTCCATTAAACAAATTTATCCGGTCAGAGATTAAGATTGATTTTTCTTGGTGCTTTTCCAGTTATCACTCACCGGTACATACGGCCCAATAGATTTCTTTCACCGGTCCAAGCGAAAACGCCAAAATTAACTCCATATTGCTTTTCCACAGTTGCTCTCCTGACCTAGTTTAAACTTATCAAGCCCTTTTTACGTATGCACTCTTTTACTAGACCGCCTGTGGCTTATAAAACGTGCTCAAAAGCTTCATATTGTTTCGACATTGGTATATGGAAATACGAAAACCAGTTAAAAGCCCGTGCAACGAGGTCCGCGCACGAAATGCGCTGATTGGCTAGCACGCGATACGTGAGCTTAAAAGACTGGCGTGCATGACAATTTTATCTATTTGAGTTTATTTTGTCCCTAACTATTTCTACAGCGTTTTCATTTGATAGTAAGGTCTGATATCAATCTTGCATAAATGATAATTTCTTGGTAAGTAAAAGCAAGGGAAATTCAGTTTCATTCTCATAATGAAGAAAAGCGTTGTTTGATATAAACATAACAGGTTTTTACCCCATTGGTAAGGAAATTTTAAAAGATTAATGCTTTAATTAGAGAACTAGATCGAAGCGCGTTAATACAACGAGCTGATATTTTGCGGAAAAAATCGGCTCTTCCTCTCTGACAGCCAGTCACGTATAAGCATAAATATTTGCTTTTCTTTGAAGACACCTGTTTTTGCGAATTTGAATATTACACCTTCTTTGCCTTGCCGACCTGAATTTTCTTGTCAAGTTCAATGTCGATGTGAAGGGAATAAACATCTAAGTACGTCATTAGAATTATCAGTTTCTCATTCGCTCAAAAATTGAAGAAACAGTGCAAATTGGAGCACTTATGTCTAGGATTGCATTCGCTGGTAAATTTTTCCGGAATTTTGGCCCAAAAAAGTTCAGATATATAAAGAAGCCCTGTAAAAGTTCGCAAATTTCACGAAAATCGCATAAGTAACAAGAAATGTTATTGCAACAAGAACAACCGTTAACAAATATCACAAGAGTAACAATAAAAACAAATTTCGCAAGTTCAGATTTAAAAAGAAGAAAAGCAAGCCCTCGAGATGTCCGGTAATGTCTTTCGCGTCAAATTTCCAACCACTGGGTAGAGGTGATGATCAAAGTTTCGAATTGATCGGGGCATTACTTTGATGTAGCGTGACAACTTCTACTGGGAGGCATTTTTGGGTGGATCCAAGCGGCGGGTCTAGCAGATCTGAACCCCCAAAAAACACAAGTTTGTTCACCTAATCTGTGTAAATAATGCTTTCAATGCAACCTTAACGAAACAATTTCAAATGTACTGAACGCACTATGACAGGTCTATTTAGCTGAAGATTAATGCAGTTAAATTAAATTTACCCAGTTAAAACAAAAAGGAGTGCTGTCTCTTGTTTTCGGTTAGTGATCAGTTTGGTGGCACAAGCACAGTCAGCCTTGATTACTTAGTACACCATTTCCTAGCGACCCCCGCGCTTTGTTAAGAGCCATTATGGCTCTTGGCTTTGTTTAGCCTTTGGATCATGCATTGACCGCCACCTACCCCGCCCCTTTTATTTTTCCACTGATAAAATCAGTGTGACAGGTGCGTTGTTCTATTGGTGTGGCAGCTCCTGGCTGGAAGGTGCGGGTTTACCAGCAATGGGATGGGGGTGTAACTGGCTTTGCCAAAAGAGGAAGCCTCTGGACATTGCCGGCAAACACCTCTAAAAAAAATGCAACACAGTTGTTTACTACAAACTAATAATTGTCACAAATAGTAATTGATAGTCATTGGATATGATTCCAACAGTGTGCTCAAGTTTAAACTCACTTGATAAAAAATTTCTGTATCTGCTCCTACAAAAATACCAAATGTAAAACATGCTGATTCAAAAACCAAAACAGCATAAAAGGTTTTAATATTTTAATTTACTTTATGACAGCTACTGCAAACAGAAAAATAGAAAAGCATGCATAAAAATAAAATATGACAATAAAAATACACAACTATAAATAATGAAATGACATGCTACATGAAAATTTCTTACTTAGACAATTGTAAAACCTTTTTGACGGAATTAAAGTATTTAAACTGTGACCTAAACTTTACACTGAATTTTATCCTGTACCTTTTACGAACATTATAAGAAAAAATTAGTTTAGAAATAGATAAGTACGTAGCTTACAGCCCTTAAAAAAATATCAAGCAAAGAACTATGAAAATATAAACAATGCACAATATATTTATTTAATACACTTTTATAAATTGTTACAGATCTAAAAAAAAAATAAACCATTACTTATCACTATGATTGCTTACTTTAAGACGGAAGAAGCAAACTTTCTGTGCAATTTATAGTGGGATAAATAAGCATATTTTAACTAACACTCTTTACAAGGTTAACAACCTAGTGAACTATTTAACTTAAATTATATTAAATTTTAAGCATATTAAATATATTGATTTTCTTTTCAAAAAGCACCAATCATGTTGTAGCTACAAGGACCAAAAAGCTGCATTATATCATCTATCAGTTAGCTTAAAATCATGTCCTTTCAATACGACCACAAGTGAGCAAAATTAGTATATGAATAAGTCAATTCTCATTCTGTGATTGGTGAAGTTTTGGTCCATAACTTACTCAGACTAACTACAAGGACCAAAGCTTAAAAGCAAAATATGACCTTGCCTTCTTCATTTCTACTGCTGCAGAGTCTTCACATGTGTGCACTGAGCTGTGCAGATGTGTTTTGTGTGCTCCTGTCTTAATTGACGAATTCTTCTTTTATCTTTAACATACATATCCTGAAAACCATTTAGTATGATAGGTAACGATAAGCTACGAAAGGAAAATCAAGCCTTGTGTGAGGAAATTGAAGAACTAAAGAACAAACTACATAAAGTGTAGGTAATCGCTGAACTTCTTTGTGTCATTTATTTTGAGTTGCAATCTGCAAGGCTTTGTATTAGATTGATACTTGATACTTGGATGAATGGTGTCCAAATTCCACACGATCCAATTGGTCAAGTTAGGAGAATTGTAAGTAACAGCTCTTGTAAGGTCACCCACAAAGGAACAATAACAGAAACAACAGAAATAATGCCCCAGAAGCCTAAAAATATTATTATATTAAGAGCTACTACATTAGCTGAGACAAGCGTACATCTAAGAAGTCTAGGAAAGCTCAAATCATAGCACTTGTACAGAGAGAATTGGAGAATTATTGTAAACGTGGGGCACAGTAAGTGAGCATTGCAGGGTTTGCAGTCCATGTAAATTGAAGCTTCTTCTCTTCATGAGAGTGCTTCCTTGCACAATCCAGGCCAAAGAAACAGCTTTTTTGTCAAGGTTGTAGTTGGCTGTCCAATTTGCTTTTGTCCTATTTCTCCCATCTTGCTGAGCTTGTCATTCACCATGATAAGCATGCTTAGGACATCTTCGTGACCTGCCTTTTCTCGAAACACCTCCACAACACAACGGACAAAACGGCTTCCATAAAGTTCATGTCTATATGAGGCATAGTGATTGACCGTTGAATAAGCCAGCAGAAAGTCTGAATGATCAGGGATAGTCCCTTTGAATGAGAAATTCCACCCTCTGTCAGCATAACGTACTGAGGTGGCTGTTGGCTGTTGTGGCCCAGGACAGAAGGGTGAATCATTCACCACACCTGTTTGCCCCTCTGTGCCTCTACAGGCTTGAATAAACATAAGTTTAGGCTTTCCTCTCAGGGTTCTGCAATTTGAATTGCTGAAAAGATCACAAACAGTTTCAAAGGGGACTGCTTGCCCATCTGAACCATAGAATAACCCCTCTTTACCATGACTCATAAGGCACAAAACAAAACAGTCGTATGCGGTATGGTCACTTTTTGCTACCTTATCCAAAACCTGTAAAATTTTCTCCTTTCCTAAATCTCTCTCAATATTGACTTCAAAATAAAGTGCCTTAAACATCGTCTCAAGTGCTTCCACATCTTTCTCAGACCCTTCACGATCTGTCAAGATCTCCTCTGTCTCAGCAGTAGGAGAGAAAACTTCATTGTTTATGATCAATGCAATGCCTCTTGGATTTGACATCATGGGGTAAACGTCCACTGAATCTGGATGGATATGTGCTGGGAGCTTAGTTAGGTCCACTGGAGTTATGAAAAGACTGTGCGGTTCATCAGATGGCTGTAGATTCAGGTTTAACGTTCTGAAGTTTTCACCACCAGCATGTTTTACTGGGTTCAGGGCTGCAAAGGAAAAAAAAAGATTCATAAGATAAGATTCATAAGCCTACGCCTTAATAATAATAAATAATGGAAAGTTTATTTATCTTTTTGAATGTACAATAATATTGTAAATCTCTCTACGTATAGGCAATTTACAATTGGCTGCTAGATTGAATAATTATTCCAAAAACAAAATCTCAAAATTTCAATCTGGGCTATCCCAATTCGTATTTCTGCAACAAAAGGTGTAATATGTTGCTCTAATGGCTATATTTATCATTTTTTGATGATTTAATGTTGCTGCTTCTTGTCAATGCCAATGTCATTCATTATGTCTAAAAACAAGGAGCATTCCGTTTTCACCAGAGAAAACGCCAAGGGAGCTCATGGACATAATTATCTGTAAATTCTAGCCCACTTCTTTGATCAAGTTGAGGTATTTTTCTTTTTTATGCACTGCATTGTTATGAAGGTTAGACTCAAAACCAACTGTTAATTCTAGAACATATAGGCACTTGGAATGAATTAGGAAACAATAATAATAATAATAATAATAATAAGTTGAGTTCTAGAGCAAGGAGGTGAACTCTAAGGGGCCTTTAGTAGTGGGTTATGACATCACTCGAACCCTTAGCAAAAACCAAAGGGAAATTTAATTACAGTAGATTATCCTAGTAACCCAAACTCTAAGGGAAAGATAAAGACAGTTCGAGCTAGCGGGCGGGG